AAGTTTAAAACAATGAGACGTTGTATGCCCGCTTATTGTGGATCTCAAACTTCTGCAGTGAAATTTATTGTATCGTTAAATGTAACTCCACGTCATTGTCACAAGAGGTTTCTTAAAGGCACAATGTCCCACATTTTCGACAATATTTTGGCCTATATTATATATATATTGGAGCTTATGCACTATTTAATATTGTAATCTAAATACGTAAAAAAAATTGGAATAAATTATATAGTAGCTTCCCTGAGTTCTGATAGTATTATTGAGATAAATGCATTATTTATTTTTAGAGAAGTGTGGTGTGATATAGTGCCTTTAAGTCAGTTGTTGATCCTACTTTGGGAGGAACCAATTTATTATATGCAGTGACATCTCTATTTTTCTGCGCCCGTGAAGGTCCGGGTTAGAATATTGATCTTCAGTAACCCATGCTTGTCGTAAGAGGCGACTAACAGGGTCGGGTGGTCAAGCTTTGGACACATTGGTTCCCACTAAGCGCAGATCGATGCTCATGCTGTTGATCTGGATTGTCTGGTTGACTACATTGGACCACTGCCATATAGTTGGAATATTGCTGAGTGCAGCATAAAACTCACTCACTGTATGTCCTCATGCTGTTGATCATAATTACAACTACCTTCAGATTGTCCAATACCAATCCCACAACTGTCGCCACCACAACCATCACCACCACATCACTATAAGCTCCAGACCACCATCACCACCATTATTCACCACGACCTTCACCAGACACACATGCCACCAATATATCACCGCCCCACCACCATCACTGCCATCATTGCAACCATGTCAACCAGCTCTACCTGGAACACCACCAGCATCAAAACTCCACCACTCCCACACTGCAACAACAACCACTGTATCTTTCTGTCCTTTCACCACATTCACTCAATCCTTTGTCCCACAACCACCACCACTACCACCGCAACCATCTACACCACCTCCACCACTCCCACCACTACCATAATTACACCACCACCACCACCTTCAGCACTACTGCCACCACCACCACCACTACCACCACCACTCCCCACCACTACCACCACTACCACCACCACCACCACACCACTACCACCACCACTACTACTACCACCACCACTACCACCACTACTACTACTACCACCACTACCACCACTACTACTACTACCACCACTACTACCCACCACCACTACTACTACCACCACCACCACCACTACTACTACCACCACCACTACTACTACCACCACCACCACCACCACTACTACCACCACTACCACCACTACTACCACTACTACTACTACTACAACTACTACTATCACCAACACCACCACCACCTCCTCCACTACCACCACCAACACCTCCTCCACTACCACTCCCACCACCATAAATACCACCACTACCATCATCCCTACCGTTCACCCAACCACTCCCCAACCACTCCCACCACCATAACTATCTCCACTACCACCACCACCAGTACCACCACCATCATCACCATCATGACCAATCTACCACCACCACTACTACCACCACCAGTACCACCACCATCATCACCATCATGACCAATCTACCACCACTACTACCACCACCATCTTCTTCCCCACCATCACAACCACTACCACTCCCACCACCACTACTACCACCACTACCACCATCACCATCATCCCCACCTCTCCCACAACCGCTCCCCAACCACTCCCACCACCACCACATTACCACTGCCAGGTTACCAGTTAGAGTTATTTCATAGGGCAAATCTGTCAGTAATTTGGAATCCAATTAGTAGCTATAGTGTAGACACCCAAGCGTGATGGTTTGTTGTGTACACCTGTGGTGGTTATTACCGCCATGTATTTATTGCTTTTGCTATTCATGGTACAATAAGGAGATGAATAATACATCATATTCCACAGTTGTTTATTCATGTAAAGCATGTTTGATATTGGCATCTCATTTGCCTTGCAACATGTTTTATGTGCTGTTTTCTAAAGGACTTTGAAGTAATAAGAATAGTATATGTCTTTTATATTGGACTCTAGAAGTTATCCTTTCTCTTATAACATCAAGTTGGTTAAGTTTATATTTTGGTTGATTCAACCCCATTGCGATTTGGGCTTATAACAGGTTCCATAGAAACTGGTGCTTGGTGTTCAGGGCAGGTGAAAAATGAGGTGACCAGGCTTGTTGACTGGGTTTATGGCATATCATACTTACCCTACAACTTGTGGGATGTTGTCCATAATACCAGGCACTAGTTATCCCCCGCAACGCGTTTTGCGGGGGGTGTAAAAATGGACTCCGTCCGTGCGTGTGTCCGTCCATCCATCCATGCACATTTGTCTTTTCCGGAGCAGAACTATAAAACAGTTCACTATTTCTTCACCAAACATGGCACATACATGGATCTGGTGGTGTACTGGTGCCTTTTGGTAGTTTTGAATTCTGAATAAATATTTTTGGCGTTTCCATGGCAACAAGTTCGACTTTGACTGAAATTAGTGGTAGTGCTCTTTTCCGGAGCAGAACTCTAAAACCATTCAATATTTCTTCACCAAACTTGGCACATATATAGATCTGGTGGTGTACTGGTGCCTTTTGGTAGTTTTGGAATTCTGAATAAAATATTTTTGGCATTTCCATGGCAACAAGTTTGACTTAGCCTGAAATTGTGGTAGTGCTCTTTTCCGGAGCTGAACTCTAAAACTGTTCACTATTTCTTCACCAAACTTGGCACATAGATAGATCTGGTGGTGTACTTGTGCCTTTTGGTAGTTTTGGAATTCTGAATAAATATTTTTGGCTTTTCCATGGCAACAAGTTCGACTTAGACTGAAATTGGTGGTTGTGCTCTTTTCTGGAGCAAAACTCTAAAACCGTTCAATGTTTTTTCACCAAACTTGGCACATAGATTGGTCTGGTGGTGTTCTGGTGGTGTACTGGTGCCTTTTGGTAGTTTTGGATTTCTGAAGAAAATATTTTTGGCATTTCCATGGCAACAAGTTTGACTTAGACTGAAATTGGTGGTAGTGCTCCTTTCTGCAGCAGAACTGTAAAAACCTTTCAATACTCTCCTTCCACTTTTCTGTATACACACCTAAATATTTGACATAATCGTAACTCGTAGACATAATCATGAAGAGTATTTTGTCATTGCGGGGGATATTGATGACTTTGTCTTCTTGTTTGTCAGATGTAGATTACATGCTGGTCACTGTCATGCTGGAGTATTGCTGAGTACATATTTACACAACAAACTTGTCTGAAATTGCTCGGTGAATTATTTTTATCCCACCAGCATGTAATGCGGTGGGATATAGTCGCCGCCTCGTCCGTCCGTCCGTAATCATTTTGTTTCTGGAGCATAACTCAAAGACCGTTCGATATTTTTCATCAAAAATTGGTAGTTATGTCAAACATAAACTAAGGTGGTGCCTTTTGCTATTTACAGATTATTGTCATTTTTATTTTTCTCGGTTTCCATGGAAACGTTTTGGACTTAGTCTTAAAGAGGGGTGGGCTTTGTTTCTGGAGCATAACTCAAAAAACGTTCAATATTTTTCAACAAGACTTGGTAGATATAACACACAGTACCTTAAGTGGTGCCTTTTGCTGTTTGCAGCGTTTTGGACTTAGTCTTAAAGAGGGGTGGGCTTTGTTTCTGGAGCATAACTCAAAAAACGTTCAATATTTTTCAACAAGACTTGGTAGATATAACACACAGTACCTTAAGTGGTGCCTTTTGCTGTTTGCAGATTTTTGGCATTTTTATTTTTTCCCGGTTTCCATGGAAACGATTCGGACTTAGTCCCAAAAGTGAGGGGTTGGCTTCGTTTCCGGAGCATAACTCAAGAACCGTTCAATATTTTTCAACAAAACTTGGTAGATATATCAAACAAAATCTTAAGTGGTGCCTTTTGCTATTTGCAGATTTTTGGCATTTTTATTTTTCCCGGTTTCCATGGAAACGATTCGGAGTCACAAAAGTGAGCGGTGGGCTTCGTTTCCGGAGCATAACTCAAGAACCTTTCAATATTTTTTAACAAGACTTGGTAGATATATCAAACAGAACCTTAAGTGGTGTTTGCTGATTTTTGTGATTTATTATTTTCTCGGTTTCCATGGAAACGATTCGGACTTAATCTCAAAAGGGAGGTGTAGGTTTTGTTTCCGGAGCACAACTCAAAAACTTCTTAATATCTTTCAGTAAAACTTGGCAGATATATGAGGCAGATCTTGAAGTGGTGCCTTTTGCTATTTCCAGATTTTTGTCATTTATTTTTTTCATGATTTCCATGGAAACGATTTGCACTTAGTCTAAAATCAAGCTGGACTTGAAGTAACTGTCAGATGATTTCTTCTTTCAAAGATGTGGGGGCCGGGGGATATGTCATCTTCTGATGACTCTTGTTTGAAAAGAAAGAACACAAAACAGTTTTACAATTTTAGGAAGTGTAAAGAATTTGTTCCCTCTTGTGAGATGCACCTCTAATGATTGCACTGTGGATGATTACGTTTCTAATGAGGTGATATCTAGGGAGGAACAGCACTCTACAAGGAGCCTAGGCCAGAAATGTGATCACAAAAGTAGTGACCTTGTCCATGTTGAATAATGGGAGTTACAGCTGCTGTGGTCCCAGGAGTTCTGCCAGTCTCATGTGTTGTGGTGATCTGTCCATTCACTTTCATTAGGCCACAGAAGTACTCTGCCTTGTCTGTCACTAACCATAGATTAAGAAGATTGTATATGCTGTATGGCAATCTGAGCTATGCCAATATATTTACTATTTGCATTTCAACCAATCTATGTTAATTGTTTAGGAAATTACTGAACCAGACGAATTCCTTCAAGTTTTGTTTCAAACAGCCCATGGTTAAAAAAATTATCTATAAACCAGTAAATTTAGAAAGTTTCTCTACATGGAGTTTCTCAACATGAAATTCCATTCTGTATGTGGATCTCCAGGAAGACCTGATCTCATGATGATCTCTCCTGTTTGCAGCTGTGCGGCCATGACACCAACAACCTCCCTGACCTGGTTGGAGATCTGTGCAAGTCATCTCCAGCACCTCTTGAGCCTGCCAATGATTCTCTATCCACGATAGACGAGAACCCAACAGTGTCTGAGCCAATCATTATCCAATCCGTTCAAGGCATCATGTCCAACCAGCCACAGACTTTGCAACAAGAGTTTTCTTTGGTCAACAAGAATATTCCTCATGTTACCATTGAAGAGGTAAGCCTTTTAACATGGGCTTATTGGTATTCAGGGAGTGCTGACAGGGGTTAACGTCCCCTTATGGGTAAATGTGTCTAGTGTCACCCAACAGTGATATGGCTGCCATATTGCTACAAGGCGTGTATGTAATCTTTCCATCTCTATATAAGGGGCACTTTACAGGAAGCTGGCGGTGGGGTAGCCTAGTGGTTAAAGCGTTGTCTCGTCACGCCGAAGACCCGGGTTCGATTCCCCACATGGGCACAATGTGTTAAGCCCATTTCTGGTGTCCCCCGCCGTGATATTGCTGGAATATTGCTAAAAGCGGCGTAAAACTAAAAACTAAACTCAGTCAGTCAGTTACAGGAAGCTGTCATCATGGTTCACCTTGATCAGGGGTGGTGGTGTAGCCTAATGGTTAAAACTTTTGGGTTCTATTCACCGCAATGGTACAATGTGTGAAGCCCATTTCTGGTTTCCCCCACCGTGATATTGCTGGAATATTGCTAAACTCACTCACTCACTCACTCACTCACTCGTATAAGAAGTGACTAATGGGATCAGGTGGTCAGGCTTGCTGACTTGTATGACGATGTGTGTCATCCTATCCCAATTGCGTACATTAATGCTTATAATGTCAATCACTGGATTGCCTGGTCCAGGCTTCAGTATTTACAGACTGTTGTCATAGGTGGAAAATTGCTGAGTGTGGCATTAAACAACATACAAAAAGAATATATGTCACTTTATATTTCATCTACAGATGGACGCAATTAATCGTGTATGTAAAGTGACAGCACAGATCGGCAAGAGGAGAGTAAGCCTCAACCTGAATTTCCCCCCTGACTACCCAAACAATGCTTCACCATCATTCCAGTTCCTCCACAGCACCCTTGATGCCACCATGCAGAAACAGCTCATCAAGGTAAGAATATCACCCTCAAGGTGAATACTCACCAGTAGTATACACAATAGCGGAACGGGACCAGGTCCTTCCAAAGGATTAATTTTCCATTAATTTTCCAAAGTGTCGCATACATTTTGGTGGCTTCGGATGCTCTTTGTAGGTTGTGCGTAGTATCCAGTGGAGTAGTCCGCCGATTTTTTTGCGCGTGGCCGTTCTCTCCCCTTGTACACTGGACGCTTCCCTTGTGCTGCACGATGTCTTTGCGTGATAGATAGCCAAACACGCAGAGGTCGTCGACAAAGGCTGGAAGACCGGAGAGTGGTTGCAGGTGGGTTTCCCCGAGATTTCCGGCGAGATAGTCTACCACCAAGATATCGGACACGGTCGTTGTCGTCCGTGTTTTCCAGTAGGAGGTGGTGTGCGATCGATTTGCTGCACCGAATGCCCATTTCTTGGAATGTTGCTGCAATTTGTTTTGCCACAGTTGTTTTTGTCGGAGTGTATCCTGTATACTGTAGCAACTCCATATGTCTAATTGGAAGTTCGAGCAACCTTGGTGTCGGGTCGAAAAAAAATAGTTGCTGAAAAAATGGGTAGCCCTAGAGAAAATGAGATTCTTATAAAGACTTTGGAAGGGCCTGGTCCCATTCCACTATTGTGTATACTACTTCACCAATCTTCAGTATGTTAAAAATCATGGCTATTGTTTTGTTCTTTGCTTTAAACCATGGCCAGTGTAGGCTTCAGTGTTACACGGGCCGGTGGGGTAGCCTAGTGGTTAAAGCATTTGCTCGTCACGCCGAAGACCCGGGTTCGATTCCGCACATGGGTACAATGGGTGAAGCCCATTTCTGGTGTTCCCTGCCGTGATATTGCTGAAATATTGCTAAAAGCAGCGTAAAACTAAACTCACTCACTCAGTGTTACACCTTCAGTGTTACACCTTGGTCCGCGTTTATTGTGGGTTACATCCACACATGATGTACTGCGCCGAACCTGAAGTGAATGAAAGTGCTTCATGCTAACCGAGTCATCGCGTTGCAGGTGCTGACAGATACATCCCAGAAGCATGTAAAGCGGAACATGAACTGCCTCGAGCCATGCCTCCGCCAGCTGATAACAGAGCTGGACACTCTCACTGTAAGTCTTGGACTCACCAAGGAAACATGCTTCAGACTCATGTAGGCCAATGGAGATACAATATTGTGACAGTAATCTCAGGGTCATCCATATTCATGCTGCTCCTTTAGAATCTCAGACATGTGATATGCAGCAGCTTTTGTCGGTTTTTCTCGGTACTGGGAGGGAGAATGTATCAGAATATGTTGGTTCTAGTATTTTTTCTTCTACAGAAAACTGAGAGGAAGACACCTGACCTTGACATTCCCTTCCCCCTGACACAGCAGCAGAACATGATGCAGACTACGCCCATTTATCCAATGTACAGCTTCGGCAGTTTCCAAGACTCCAGCGTTCCATTCCCAAGGACAAGTGGAGCTCGATTCTGCTCTGTGGGTAGGTTGCCATGGATTGCATGGACTCATATCCAGCTTAGTTCTGCTCTGTTTGCAGCTTCCCACTGATTGCATGTGCCCAAGATCAGCAGAGCATAGTTTTGCTCTGTTTGTAGGTTCCCATTGATTACGTGTGCCCAAGACAAATCCCACTTTGTTGGAAAATCTTTTAATGTAATTTTGTGTGTTGCAGGTGTGTTGGTGATATTTGGCCGTTCCGCTGTGATGAAGAAACATGATGGAACAGAGCCCACACCCAAGTAAGATTTCTGGATTCTAGTACAAGTCATGGTGCTGTGCACAAAACTTTTAAGAGTTTAAATGTGATTAATTCAAATTTGAATTGTCTTCCCTGTATAGCATCCAAATTTCAGTGTCCCATAGTTCTATAACACCCTACAGCAAGCAGGACTCAAGGTCAACCTCTATCTATTTACAGAGCTCTGTCCGAACTAGCTGCCTTTGCGAGACCATCACAGAATGCAACACCGTTTGCCCCCTTCTTTCCGCGCAGTCCTCCAACACCAAGCAACGAGGGCCTGTCAATCAGTGACTTCTATACGTACAAGGAAAGGGTAAGTGGTTTGGAATACTAGTCAGCTTGTACATGATGCCAAGGTCCATACCAGACCATCTAGCTACAGCACTGTGTATGTACAGAAGACTGCTCAAATAGAAATGGCATCTCATTGCCACAGGATCATTTTTCTTTACGACAATTTTCTTGGTAGCCCGGGACCTCACTAGCCATGCAGACACACTGTAACATCAGGTCCCCATGTTTGTCATAGTGAGTGAGAGCAGATCGTCTTTGAAAACTTAGATTTGTTACAGGGGATGGGAAGTCATAAAGAAGGATGGATTCAGGCTTGAAAATATCTTCATTGGAGGCAAATTGTGATTAAGAATTAAAGTGACACATGTACATGTCTTGCGATTGGCAAGATTAACATATTAGACCTTGGATACAAAATATTATTCTGACCTGTATGTCCATGAATGTGAGCGTATATGTGTAGAGTACTTGTACCGGCAATGTTTTTGACAACTGATGCAGCTGGCTTGAACTCTTCATGTTCTTTAAGAGTGCAAGTCATACATGTTTAGGTGGGACGGATGAGGATACGTCTGTTGAAGCTGCATGATGCTGGAACTTGCCTGCAGTGGGTAATCCCTGGCATTATTCCCAGGAACCTGTGTGTGCTGTATATAGAGAGTCTGGTGTTCAGCATGCCCTGGAGTTGAATGTATGACAATCTCCCACATGGAGTGTTGCTTATGTCCACAAGTATTCATGGCCCAGACTGATTTGTTTTTTCTCCACCATGATATGATTGGAACAACATTCTCCTGCTGAATTTCTTTTAATCCGTAATTTGACTTCCAACTCTACTAGCATGTTTGATGACAATCTGTTTCAGCGGCACCGGACACGCAGCAGGTCCCGTGTGCGTGAAGTGTCCGAGTCACGGTACAGGGACACAGAGAAGGCAGCCAAGAAACTAAATAAGGTGGCCCCTGTCAAAGTGTACGATGTGTCAGCACTGCTGACGGTAAACAAGCAACTAGCAGAGAATTATAAGTGAGTTGTCAAGTAAATTTTTAAGTATAGTTTTTGTAGCAATAGTTCTGCAATATGACCTTTGAATAGGTAATCAATGGCATTTCCAACTGACAATGGATGAAAAAGCAGTCAGTATATAGCCAATATTGACAGTGAGTACTTTATTAACAGGGATTAAAGTAATCTTATGTCAAATTTAGTCTTATGTCAAATTCAAAGGATTGTTAAAGATTGTTGACAGATTGTATTTGCTTAATTATACTTGTCAAGATTTAAGTGATTTGTAAAAAATCCCATATCCTGAGTATGGTTATATTTTGACGATTATTGTCCCGTATGTGTTGTAGACTAGACCTGTCCGACATCCCCGGGATGTGCAGTCACAATGCTGCTGCTGCTGCCACTGTTGGACGGAAGGATCTTGTACAGGTCGGTACCTCCACTCAGACAATGGTCTACAGAAAGGGAGTAACAGATCTTCAGCACCATGCCAGATAACCAGAGATCTGCGTGGTCTCAGTCTTTTCTCAGGCTATCTAATTGGATGTGCGGAGTTATGCCCCTTAGTGGTAACACGTGTGATCTCTTTCATTTGTGGCTTTCCTTCCACGTCAAGCTTACATGCCTTAACAAATAAAAACTGTCCTTAAAAGCAATAACCTAGTTAAGTGAATGTGTTGGGTACTGACACTCTGTAGCAGTGCTCCTGTTGTCCTTGCAGATCTGGAACTATGTGTCAGTGATGTTGCCAGCCAGTCTCAACCCAAGTCCTACTCCCACCAGCAGCAGACCCTTTGCAATGTGTGCCTTTGGACGGCCGCTGCTCAAAACTATGTGGGTATTCAGCCGACCCACTCTTCAATATGATTTGGCCTATTCAGGCCTGTTGACCTAGTGAGAGAGTGTGTGTGTGTGTGTGTGCATCGTGAATGTGCATACGTGCAAGAGAGAGAGAGAGAATTAAGTATATGGTAAATCTTTATGAAGTAAGCTCCCTCACTCACTCACTCCTGAGACTGACCAAGATTCCCTGATTCCAGGCTGGACCACTACAGCAGTAACTATGATGTGCAGACACTGGCCATGTTGTGCTGCGTGTTCTGGAACAAGGAAGACGTCCACCGCGCCGCCGCTGCTGCTGCTGCCAGATCTGCCTCCAAGACCTCCCTGGAGTACACACCTGCAAATGTAAGCTCCATCCCACATCCTCTACCGTCCGTGTCTTAGAGTCCTAAAACACTGTACATACAGATTTATGTAGACCTGCTCAGAGACTGCTGATATTTTACCCCAAGTCTGCAGTAAATGCAGTACAAATTCCAATATTGATACTTAATATTTCCCAATTCTTGTTGTTATTGTTATAACTAATCTTATGGATTTGGAGACTGAAAGATATGATACTATGATGCTGAGTAATATGCTTTGATACTACATGTTTCATTATTATTTTTAATGCAGTATTAAATTAAATAGTAATGTACCTCTCAATATCAAAAGTATCCATTTTTCACCTAAGGGCTCTTAGTTTGGAATCCTAGATAAATCTGTTATGACACTACTTTTGAAAACTAAACTATTTGAAGTTTTATACTTAAGATTTTCATCCAAAGAGATTTCTACTTAATGGAGTCAGAATGATTTTTGCCAAAAAGCTATTTAATATGATTGATGTTATAATGATGTCATTTTGTTACTGATAAGTTTCGCGATGCATTCTAGTATAACTGAATCTTGTCATCATACAGCTGCTGTTGACTGCTGCTTTTTGTTTGTTTTGTACTTACCCTAGGAGTGCTTCTGTATTCCTTTGTCTTAGACAGGAATGAGGATCCCATTTGTTAACAGTTTATCATTGTTGCTATTGAATCAATATTAGAAGATAGTATTTGGATTTTTTATTTAAAAATTTGTAGTTGCACATTTTACATTTGTATTACCTTGCAAACTATTTATTGTCCAGTGAGAGTCAATGACTCCATTTTCAATTTGGTTAACAGATTTATTGATGGAAAAACAGATATGAAGTAAAAGAAATTTCGACAAAATGAGGAATGAAATGTTTTCATTTCCATGTTTATTTGGGAAGAAGAAGCTAAATGTGGTATTACCTAGAAACAATGGAAATAATGTTTCATTACTTTTGTTGAGTTTTTGAAAGTAAAATGTTGACTAATGATGATATTTTACCAAGTTTTCCCGTGCTGTGATGTGGACTGAATGCTAGTCGTTTGTTGTTTATCTAGACTGATGCTAACATTACATATCTTGGAAGTAGCACAGATAGTGGGTGGAGCTTATTGCGTAAGTCCTGACTGTGTTTACTCGTTAGTGTTTATCCGGCATCGACCAATCAGAGAGACATCGAGAACCAGATACAGATTTGTCACTACTATTGCCATTTGGATGAAGATGAGGTTATTTTTGGTACTTTGAAACATAGAAAAGACAACATTACTTCCCAGGGGAGAATGTCATGTCTATCTGCCAACAATCGGAAGATATAGGTAGTTCCCCAGGGTTCTTCCAGAACAGTTCAGTTTGAATGATCGAGGGTTTGGAAATCTGTTTCGGCATTCCTACATGGTTAGGTTCAGTGTCTACACCTGTCTCTCTGATTGGGTCTGCTTTGATGACCAGCTCACAACACCTGCTTTTTTGTTGTTTCTGCTGCAACAGGCCGTCTGTTGTTGATTGTAGGATGTAATCTGGAATTGGGGTAACTGAATTTGGATTCCAAATTTGTAAGTCACCTGAATTGTAAACTGAAAATATGTCAGTAATATCATGAACAAGTGGAAACATCAAGTGTGTGAAACTTGGAAACAGTATTTTAACACTTGTTCTTGGAGTCAAATATTGTGGAAACCAGGAAGACACTGATTCAGGACTACTCTCTGACAACAGAGAAGCAAGTTGTGAGTTGGTCCATGATCTGCTCATGTTTTTGTTAATATTTGAAGACATCTTTCTTGCAGGACTGTGGTCAAGGTTTGTAGTTAAGTAGGCAGTTTGCAGTGTAACAGCTTGCAATAACGAGAGAGTTGAACAGTTCATTGATAGGCTGATAGTTTGTGTAGGTTGGAGTATTTCACCCTGTAGAACCAGAGGACTCGTACACATGATGAATACATCAGATACATCAGTGTCTATATACTCCGTGACACAGGGCATGATATGGGCATGAGTTGTTTTCCTGTTTAGTTACAAATCATTTTGGGCAGCCTAAATTGCAGCAAACTTATATAAGGATCGTATATAGTAAATTAGGTTTGAGGTGCACAATGACCATTATCTCTTGACACACGGAGGATAATGTCCATGTATCTTAGCAATGGGTTCACCTAGTGGTTAAAGTGTTCACTCATCACACTGAAGATCAAGGTTTGATTCCCCAAAATATTGCTAGATAGCAGCATAAACCAAAGCTCACTGATTGTATCCCATGTACACCATGTGATTCAGAATACGTCCCCATAACCTGATGCTGGCCCTGAAAACTGACTAAATTGATGATCAGTTTTTGTGTGTGAGTGTTTTTGCATTGTACCAAACACTGGGAATCATGGCCCTTAGTCACTGGTCCTCTTGGTCCAGATGTATTACACGCTGGCTGCCATGATAGAGCTGGAATATGGCTGTCTGTGACTCTCACTGTGCTGCACCATCATTACCACAGGTGGGTTCCTAAAGATTGACCTCACTCTGACACACTGCACATTGACAGATTCTAAACCTGAAAGCCAGAATCAATGAACTATTCAACCTTTTGCTATGTGCTGTGAACATGAATTACCATGGGGTAGCAATCGATGAAAGTCAGGCTTGTTTTGTAGGTGGGCTCTATTCCACAAAGTTTATTCCAGCTACCACTGTTGACTTGACGGCAGACTACGAGACAGTCGTAGCACTAACCACTTTGTGGTGAAGGGCCCATTGTTTTTGTTTTGAACATTACTCTGTGTATTTTTACCACTTCTTTAGCTTGTAGACTTACATATTATCTTACATTATTGATTTAGATTCCTGAACCGTGGTGGTGGTGATTACGTACCTTCTTAAACTAAACAAGAATATGTAGCTAGGCACAGCACGAGATACTGCTGTCTCTATGTCGTAATGTTCTGTGTAGCAGTAGTGTCCACGAAGCCTTGTGTAGAACACCGGGCATAACACCTCATTCAAGATGGTACCACATGGAAACTTTATAAATTGTTTAATATACACAGATTTATAAAAGTAACAGTTCACTTCAACAATTTCCAGTTAAATTGTTTTATTTGATTTATGGATAGAAAACAAAATGTGTGATAAAAATGTTTTTGAAGAAGGATGAAAAATACAATATTAGAATATCAGTGATTGTGACAAGGAGTATTTTATATGGTTCCTATATTCATGTCTGCCATGCTGAATGTTTATTGTGTATTAACTTGTGTATACCTGTGCCTGTTTTCTGTGCCAATATAGGCTATAAACGTAGGCTTGGTAAGTGGACACTTACGCCATGTGTATACAGCTGACTAACTCTCTAGCTGCACGTAACCACTGACCATGTATACAGAATCGCTTTTGAGTACACTTGAAAAGGCTCACACAGCTCATATATTAAAAAAAAATGTGTAGCAAAGTTAGCTTTCAGACCCAAATCAATATTCAGCAAACAACTCCTTCTATTCTATTTTATCATTGTATAAAAACAATCGACAGAAACAAAGAATAATGGAAAATATTCACATTATACCAATCATTGTGACATGTTTTAATTTTAGTCACCAAGCATTATCGTCTGATGTATCGTTATTTGATACTGTCAGTTATTCTTAAATATGGTTTTACAGATAACACAAGTCTAACAAATGATGGTGAATTCTCAATTAGGCTTTGTTTTACCTAGCGACTCAAGCTTCGTACCTTGCTTGTGCTGTATTCATTATTTAGCCTTAAGTGTGTCCCCACAATGTATGTGTGTTCTCTCCCCTTCCCGGTCAGCACCACTGTATATTGTACTATATAGGCTGTTTAAGTGTTCCCTGGTTGTGTAGGTGTCTATCTGTGCTACTTCGCTTTGTCTAAACATGCTGATGGAGTCTTGTTTCAGCCATAACACGAGGGGAGAGAGATTTGAAACACCTTGCTGCTTTATCAGCAGTGGCTTAACCTTGCGCTGGAACCGGCACCTTCTGCTGACATTGTGCACTACCATGGGGATTAGACTTACAGGGGATCAAACCTGTTCCTGTCTGATATTTATAAACCCTTTCAGAACTGATGTGTGCAAAAATATATAGCTTAGGGGATCATGTTAGATGTGTTAGACTTTTAAATTGTCTCACCAATGACAGCAATGAGCCTGTGGTAGACTGATTAGCCATCAACAGCTTTTTTGTATCAACATGATTAAGATTCAGGTTACCACTATGTTGTAAAAATGTGAAACTTTACTTAAAATACCAAATTTGGAAAGGATATTTTCTGTGGAATTAGGATATTGATTTGTCTGTTTTAATTTTCAATAGCTTTTGTTTTGCTTCAGCAAATGATAATTAGAACAGGAAGTTGATGCCTTGTTTGAGTATAACTGAGTCACCAACAGCAGGAGGGGAGATGTGGATGGAATCTTGTGTGATATTTTGGTTTATCAGGTTAAAAGCCCATCAAAACTTCAAATGAATATAGACAAATGTAAAAATAATGTTTGAAACGAACAGGAAGGTTTTGAGTGAAACTGTCATAGGGTCCAAAGAATGGGGGAAATGTGTGCAATGTCTGTAGAAAGACAACAGGCTTAACAGCCTCCTTGTCTTACTCCTGTACCCTTCTCTTTCACAGTACAACCCCTATCATACCGTCTCCTCAGTCACAAACCTTCTCAAGGGATTCAAAGCTAGTAAGTCATGATCCAGCAAGGGCTTGCCGCCATTTGTATTTGTGTTCTGTCAACCTAGGCCCTTGTTTCCTAGCTCCATGCCGGTATCATTCATTTCATGGTTTATTGCAGCACAGTATGCATGAGTTTATGCTTGGTAACTTGGTAGTCACAGTGTATTGTTCACCGATGTAATGTGTACCGATGTAATGTGTCTATCTATTGTGGATGCAGTCATAATGCCAGAAGGACTTTTTTGTAACAATGGAATTAATTTGTCAAACTGAGGCATTTATTTTTTTATTTAAATTCAAAATTGTGGAGAAAATGAACCGAAAAGAATTCTGATGAAGATGATTCTAAGTTGCTTGAAGTTGGATGAGTAGCATGATTCAATAATAATGCCTTTGTTTTGTTATAAGCCCTTGTACTTCTAGTGTCATAATGAAGAAAATCAAGTAAATCAAGACAGGGATAAAGTCAGTAATGACCAGTTAAACTGATGCTCTCTAAACCTGTTTGATACTGAGGATTCTATCATTGTATTCATTCCATGCTGATTATGACACATATACCATTATGAAAATGAGAAGGCATGGTCTCTCAATCTCTGCTTGTTCTATCTATAACAACAGCTTCTCTGTATACTAACTACGCTAAAGTGCACTGGAAGGTACCTTCAAGGAAGGGAATATTTTTATAGCGTTTGTTGAGTGAGGGTTTAAATGATCAGAAATGACATGAGAAACTCTAGACACTTCAATCATTCTCTTTTTTAATGAAATGTTATCTCCCGAACTGGCGAACCAACTGTTTGCTCCTCCAATGTCACCTGGTGAGGTTGATTCAATTAAGTGGTACCGGTATCAATTATAACTTCTCCATCACAGTTTGTCCATTGAAAAAAGAAATATATGTGTGTGATGTGTATGCACAACTAACAAACCAGTATATGTTCTGTTAGTCTTTCAACCCACGTTGCAGCTGATATCTTATTCAAGAGGCTAGCATGTTAGCAGGCCCTGGTGGCAATTGGTTTCTCTGAGAACTTGATTGACAAGTAAACATTACACCCACCTAGCAGCTTCAAGTTGCATTTCTCTGAGTGGCATTTTAACAGTTGGTACGTACAATATTGAACAAACTTTATTGATAACAACTTCTTTCATTTGTCAGTGCGACGTTTCAATATTCAAAGTTTCAGTGGAGAGCAAATTATGAATATACTGAGTATATATAATACATATAGTTGATAGAAAGTTCCTGTATTTTAAGAAATTGTCATGATGTCCTTGAGAATGCCATTCTGTAATGCACATCTCAAGTGTGGAGTTCAGGTTGTATTTCATCTGATAGGACATGTAATAAAATCAGGACTACACTTTTACAGAATCTGTGTCAGGGAAACAACATTGATAGGAAGACTTGACGCTAAATGTCAACTTCATAACCTTAGAAGGACCATACCACCCTGTGTGATACATACTGGATAGGCTGGGATTGAATACATTTGGCTTTTGGTTTAGCATATGAAGAAGTGTCTTGATATCTTTCAATCTCTCTAATGTAGATTGCTATTAGTTTTAAGCAAAAAATTTCTGTTCTTTTTTCCTTTTTTTTTGTTGTTGTTGGTAGATTGTCATTTTAATGGGCTTTATAGATAAAGTGTTTTGACACAAAAATTGTTTTATTAGATTTTACAACATTAGTTAAAATTTAGACTTCATCAAGTTTGTACCTGATGAACAAAGATTAGATTTGTTGTGTTACTACAAAACAGGCATGTGATGTGATGAGAAAGAACACTGAATGTATCTTTGGAATGAGACATTCTTCATCACTAATACGTGTGGTTTGTTTTCACCAGGGCTTCTGCTTTGTATTCCTCCTCTAGGGCTGTATGGTGTGTTCCCAGGTCACAACTGTTTATCATCATGGGGACATCAAGATTATGCATGAGTCAGACTTCTGTCAGGTTCAAGTTCTCATTTATGGAGTTGGATGGAGAAATATAGTTCATATAAATGAAAAATTGATGAATCATGAATCATAATTGATTTTCAAAATTAGGTTTGAGAGGTATGTTTTGTTGCTGCATAATGTTGTATTGAAGCTCAATAACAGAACTTATACAGTAACTGTTACAGTAATAAGATTATGTTTAAAGATGACTGAACCTCCTGCTGACTGAACGTCAGCGTGTTGTTTGAAAAATGGAAAACCAAACATATTCACAGACTACTAATATTTTTAAAAAAGCAAGTGGTTAAATGTGTATGCGCAACACAGATTTCCTGAATGGCTGCAATGCGGGAAAGCATTTCTGGTGTTTTCCTGCTGTACAATGAGTGGTATATTGCTAACAACAGCATAAGCTTTCTTACACTGAAGTAAAGTTTTAGGCATCAATATACAGATGATGGAGGGCCACAAACTGTCTGGCACCTGACATGTAGTAAAGTGATACAACATGTAGTAAAGTGATACAACATGTAACAACATTTAGTAAAGTGATACAACATGTAACAACATTTAGTAAAGTAGCAGAGAGGTGCTCCATAGAGAAGATCTATGAGAAGATGAATTTTGCTTTTTGATGTAGAAGGTTTCATATCAGCATATTTTTCACTTCAATAATGTCTGCAAGCAAACATCAGTGATGGTGTGAAGATATATGTGTTTGTAGCACTGCGAACACATTTTGACATTTCTTTTCCTTGGGGGAAATTTATAAGTATGACATCCATTGATGCATTATACCTTAAAGTATATACAATGTAATTTAGGTTATACACACAGAATTATCTGCCATTGAGTAAAGTTGTAGGGTGTGCTGAGAGTTACCTCCCTTTGCCCTCTCCTTGCCAGATAACTTGCACCTTTGCTTTTCTGAGTTGGGTTAGCAATAACTGGCTTTTTCATTATCACCTTTCTGTTTCATGGATTCAAAGAAATTGCGAAAAAATGGATTGCTGAATTCTTGTGTCTTGACTGATCTGTAACAAACTTTGTTTGAGTCTGTTTTGTATGTTCTGTCAGCCTGACACATGGTACCTATGTCACAATTAAATTTATCAGTTGTAGAGAAAAACAGTTTTACCCATATTGTAATGGTAAATATAACACATTAGGCTGATGTCTTCACAAGTTGCCATCATCACTGCCCTTCAGCGTGAAAAGTTTACATTTCAAATTTTCAGGGCGAAGGAGGAGCCTAGTGGTTAAAGCGTTCACTCGTCACGCCGAAGACCCGGGTTTGATTCCTCACATGGGTACAATGTGTGAAGCCCATTCTAGTGTCACCCGCTGTGATATTGCTGGAATATTGCTAAAATCAGCATAAACCCATACTCACTCACTCACGCACGCACAGCATTTAAACATTTCAGATCTGTATTTTTATCATATTTGCTGTATGTGGTTATATAATTACAGTGTTTAAGTTTGTCAGTGTCATCAAATGTATAATTTTTGCAGATATAAAAAGAGAATTTATGTGGGATTTCATTTTTTAAACCAACCATATATTTATACTTCTCTAGCATGTAAAGATGATTAAACAAATATATTCTTTTCACAAATATTTATCAACATATTTTGGGAAAGTAGCTCAAGTTTTAACTTTTTGTGGGTGCGAAGCGTGATTCATGTTTACATAAGACCCAAAAATGTTAAATCATTTTATTCTATAGTATAGTATTTTCTGGGTAGAAATTTCGTAACAACTTCTATGACAATTGATTATCTAATATTGATGTAAGTTAATGATATTCAGGTTGCATTTTTATAACATACAACAGAAATCAACATTCATAGCATGTGTTCCCCAATATTTTACTCCAGATGACTGCATCTTAGTTAGAGACTCAGAACCCAGATGAGCTGCTGTATATTTTCGTGATGAAGGACCAGATGATGGCTAGCATGTAGTAGCTGTAGGCTGAATGTAGTGTTGATGCAGCAAGTGTTCTGTCCCCTCTCTGTCCCCTGCACTCCTGTATCCCTTCGGTCTGGTTCTCCATTACCCACTGTTTGGCTTGGTGTGCTTTGTGGACTTTCTTTCTTTGGTGGTTTTTGTACCTTTGACTTTTAGGTTTCATTTTGTGGTTTAGTTAACAGGTTGTTTTGTCATGTTCATTAGTAGATACAGCTTCTTCATTTCTTGGTTCTTCTTTATGTATTTTTTTTTTTTAAATTTCTGATTTTAGACCATCAAGAGATATCACATTATATACTGACAATATGTGTTTGTTTAAAATTATATTTTATTCCAAACACATCCTAGCTAAATGTTTATGAAAGTTACTACAGGGAATTGGTTGAAATTTTATTAATGTTAAATGTTGTGAACCAAGAAATGGGGAACTACTGATGTTATCTGATGACTTGTCAATATCCCTCCGAGGGCTGACTAATCAGTGTCTCCTCCCCGTGTCCAGAGAGCCACGCCCAGTCCCAGGCCCCCATGGGCCACCCAGGCCCCCAGCACCCCACTGCACATGGGGGCGGTCCTCTCTCGGAGGTAGCCTCACATCCAAACCTCTCCGCACTTTTCAAACAAGGTATGTCAGATGTGCATACAAGTTGGTCGTTCAGTTGTATTTCTCACTTCAGTTTTCAGCTTTTATCAGTCTCTTTTAAGAACAATTAACACAAATACAACACAGCAGAAGAAGTACAGTGAACTATGTTTATAACAAACACATTTAGAATAAATTGACAGATACCACAAACTGTTGTTTGGTTCCAACCACTTCATGTATACTTTAGTTGAAATGCGTGTAACAAACTTCAGTTAGAACAAACTAATATTTTTGTTCCATTTGAGTTTGTTATAATCATAGTAGCCTGTACCATATTCAGGGTAAGTTGTGCTGGGCGTTAGGGTTCCACACAGTTCTGCAAGTTCACAGAGCAGGGTCCACCTTATGCATACACTTCATGAGAAGAGGCATTAGGCCTAGCCTGTTAGCTAATCTTCTTGTAATTCTTATTTTAAAATACTAGTTAAAATAGTAGAATTAATTTGGTTTCTACAGATTTTTTTAACATATAGACCTGGGTCTAGATTTTCGAAGCTCTCTTAGCACTAAGATAGTGGTAAGTTAATGTTAAGGTATGGTACCAAAGCCCTGAGCTTTGAGGGTTCAACAATTATACTAGTCTATTACACAAATACGCTGGTTCACTACACATGTGCTGGCTCTCGAAACAAATTCAGTTTATGTTAATCACATGGGGATTTCAGGTTAGAGTAGGTTCTAAGAAACCTCTGCTGGCAGTGAAGGGTGACCATCTGGGTCAAGCAAAACCCTTTCAGTAGTTTGGTTGATTGTGGGTCATTGCTCCCCAGATGTTTGGGTCATTGCTCCCCAGATGTTTGGGTCATTGCTCACGATGTTGATCACTTGCCTGTCTGGTTCAACCAGAGGTATATTCAGGCCGCTGGATCACTTGTCTGTCTGTTCAGCCGGAGGTATATTCAGGCCGCTGGATCACTTGACTGTCTGGTTCAGCCGGAGGTATATTCAGGCCGCTGGATCACTTGCCTGTCTGGTTCAGCTGGAGGTATATTCAGGCCGCTGGATCACTTGACTGTCTGGTTCAGCTGGAGGTATATTCAGGCCGCTGGATCACTTGCCTGTCTGGTTCAGCTGGAGATATATTCAGGCCGCTGGATCACTTGACTGTCTGGTTCAGCCGGAGGTATATTCAGGCCGCTGGATCACTTGCCTGTCTGGTTCAGCTGGAGGTATATTCAGGCCGCTGGATCACTTGCCTGTCTGGTTCAGCTGGAGGTATATTCAGGCCGCTGGATCACTTGACTGTCTGGTTCAGCCGGAGGTATATTCAGGCCGCTGGATCACTTGCCTGTCTGGTTCAGCCGGAGGTATATTCAGGCCGCTGGATCACTTGACTGTCTGGTTCAGCCGGAGGTATATTCAGGCCGCTGGATCACTTGACTGTCTGGTTCAGCCGGAGGTATATTCAGGCAGCTGGATCACTTGCTGTCTGTCTGGTTCAGCTGGTTCAGCCGGAGGTATTCAGGCCGCTATATTCAGGCCGCTGGATCACTTGCCTGTCTGGTTCAGCTGGAGGTATATTCAGGCTGCTGGATAACTTGACTGTCTGGTTCAGCCGGAGGTATATTCAGGCCGCTGGATCACTTGACTGTCTGGTTCAGCTGGAGGTATATTCAGGCTGGTGGTATATTCAGGCTGCTGGATAACTTGACTGTCTGGTTCAGCCGGAGGTATATTCAGGCCGCTGGATCACTTGCCTGTCTGGTTCAGCTGGAGGTATATTCAGGCTGCTGGATAACTTGACTGTCTGGTTCAGCCGGAGGTATATTCAGGCCGCTGGATCACTTGCCTGTCTGGTTCAGCTGGAGGTATATTCAGGCCGTTGGAATATTGCTGAGTGTGGTGTTAAACAATAGACCAACAATATGCTGAAAACTGAGGTTATGACATAGGTTGTTGCAAAGTCTCTCTTTATATGTTGTATGACATCAGCAGGTTGAATGAATGCAGTGCAATTGCTGTAAATATTTTGGGTAAAATGGATGAATTTTCGTAGATGTGATACAGTTTTCAAGAATTTTCTTTGGACCAGAGATTTTTGCTATGGAACGGAAAAATGGACCTGTACTCTCAGCTTTGTGATGTAGATTTCAAAGTCAGGTCTCAAAGGGACAGATAAATTAAATCTTTGAACAAGGATGGGGTCTTATAAGTGAGTCAGGTGCTAATTACCTTGAATATGGTATCTACAATAGACAGTTGGAGACCATCAGCAAGTATAAACGTAGTCTACAATCACCAGATTGTTTTAAATAAATTGTTTGAAGTTGCAACAACCAGATGGATTGGAAAACAAATATTTGTTCATGTGTTTGTTCATGATGTTTTTGTTTTTTCTTTGTTTGTAGGATCCTTGTGTTTGTTTATTTGAGCCTAGAGTTTGTATGTAGACCCAGTGAAACTTGTTTGATGTCAAATTTAAAAAACCCCACTACCATTGTTCCGAGTGTACACATGTGTACCAAGACATGTTTGTCTTCAACTTTCCTTTGTTTCAAATCAGATATCAGATATCATTTCAGTTATAACAACAGGAGGGATATGATTTTACACAAATCAGTTAGAATAATGATAAAGCCTTGGTAATGGACATTATATTTGAGATGAATAAGAATGTTCTGTACCATATCTAGCTGCATGGACTTGTCTTGTGATCCTACATCTGGTGAACTATTATCCTGTACTGAAAGTGGAACAAGACTATCTGCATTGTTGATGTATAGTTCATCAAGCCTATCAAACACCCTATACTTGACATGTGTGCTGTATTGCTGTGTTCGTACACTAATATGAAATATAGCTTGCTCAAAGTGCTTGAAATATCCATGGTTAAACTAAACAAATCATACCTATTAACCTTAATTATTCATGCATTTTACATGATTCAGGAACATAATTATTTCTGTTATTCTGACAGTTATTGTATCTCATTCAACTTGATATTGTTATTGTGTTACAAACTGAAGACATTCAACAGTTAAGTGTAGTTGTAAAGCTAATAGTATATCAAGCACATTTACTACCTAGATGCATGGGGGAGATGCAGACTGGATCAGTCTCCAGCGTACATAGTGAACTTCCATTAAGAAATGAATTCCTCATCATTATGCATTAGGGATATGTGATCAAAAGATGCTGAAGCAATGTCTTCCATAAAGACGCCAGGGACCTGATCCAGTCTGAGGTTATGGTAGTTCTTCTGCACAGGGCGTGGTGCATGTAATGGTTTCGCTGCACCAAGTATTGTTATTATATTGTTGGGATACAATACTATCAATAACAAGTAGATGTAATGATTTCCTCTATAGACAAGACCCAGTTTATGTTCAGTTATCTGTTTTTCAATTATTGAAGATTGTTTTAGTGTATTTAAAGAAAACAGTTCCTCCATGAAATGTTACATATCTTTATACGTGTGTCAGAGGTTCATGTATCATTTTCCTTAAAACTAATTTAGATTCAGTTTTTCAAGAGATGATACTGACAGATTTCAGTGTAGTGACCACTGGTTTAAATATCTGTGGCAGTCCAAGGGTTTTAGTGTTAAAAATCTTCTACTTTGTATGATAATACAAATATTGATATTTGCCATAACAAGTGCCTCAGGCACTTAGAAAAATGTACACGATCAAGTTACTTTGTTTTCAGAGATTGAGCAATAGTGAACAAGCGTTTCAATCATATACTTCTTCTGCTTAGCTGCCTTATTGTGTAAAAGTCAAATATAGTTTGTAGAGACTCTCATGTAAATTTTCAGTCATTGTATTGAGGGCGTATGAGTATTACATTGGTCAGGAGGGGGCTTTATACTGGAGAGGATGCAAAGTATGGCAAATCAGCCTACCAGGTCGTGATTCCACTAATTGTACAACACAATGTTGTATTCACAAATGACAGTAATTACACTGTCTGATCCTGGACAGGAACTGCAGACCATGAAGCCTCTCTCTAAACATATTTAATGGAACTGCATGTCCGAGATAGGTTCTTGGTATGAAGCCTTTTTGGTGTGCTCTACTATATTTTATGGAATATAAGTACGAGCAGTGAGAGCCAACTCAAATTTCCTTATGAGTAAAAAAGACAGAAACTGCATGTTTAGGCCAATGAGTACTCATTGCACTGAGTTCAAGATAGTTTTAACTGTATGTACTTGTTAGCTAGAGCATTAGTAGTACTTGTATTTGAAATTAATTGGTTTTATTGGAAATGATACATGACTGGCCCTATTTGTGTAGTGTTAAGTCCTGACCATGTATAATGGTGAGTATGTATACTATGTAGCTGTACTGAAGAACAAGCGGTCCAACAGCTGGTCTGACAGCTGCGACGACTACCGCATCCTGGATGAGCCAGACCCTGCTGAGAAGGCAGCACAGTGGGAGCAGGAACAACATGAGAACAACTGCAAGTGAGTCCCGCTGACCGATAGCCACACTGTGCACTGGAAGCTGCTGTCAACAGACTGTCACTGACATGCAACTCAAAACAAACAAAACTAGCTTTATTGCATCAACAGAGATGCTGAAACAAGCATTTCGGGTTAAATGCAATGTTTCTATACTGATGCTGCACACGGCTTCAGCTTCCCTACCAAAAAAAGGGGGTAGTGGGGTAGTCTAGTGGTTAAAGCATTCGCTCATCATGCCGAAAACCTGGGTTAGATTCCCCACATGGGTGCAATGTGTGAAGCCCATTTCTGGCATCTCACACACAAACACACACACACACACGCACATGCACGCACGCGGACGGAGTGCAGCATTGAACCGCAAACAAACATGAATTAAAGATTTGTCTACAAGGGGCACTGAATGGATCATATATAACACTAGTGCAATAAGACTACATTTGGGAGCAAGTAATAAAGACAAATGAAGCTAGCCCTCTTTGACAGGTGTTTTAGGGGGATATGACTCTAAACCAGGTATCAGTGGCTCAGTCTGCTACAAACTGGAATGGAATAAACTGGCAGAAAAATGTAAATACAGTAAGCATTTGTGTTTTGTTCAGGTCTAGTGAAATAGGGTCAGTTTGGGGGGAAGAGTGAAGGGTTTAAGAAATTGTTTCTAGGGTGTTGCAGGATGTCAGTCCTAATGTACAGTACAGTGTGTGTCTGTTGGTTGACAGAATGCTGGACCCCACCATGTGGTCCCAGTACGACCTGTACAAGAAGGCGTACTCCAACCTGCTATACAGCTGGGGCCTACACAACCAGGCTGCCCACATACTCAAGTTCATCTCCACATCACCACCACCTCACAAGGGAGTCGGTAGGTAACAGGTACTTCTTCATGACAACAGTGATGGAGGCTCAGTTTGGGCAGGATTTATCTAAAGAGAATTTGTCATCTCTTGATGACTCTTGTTTAATTCATTGTCACTGTAAATACAAAGCCAGATCCTGGTGTAGACTGTTCAGAGTGTTCTTGAATATTCTGCGGTTAATGCACTCCATGGCATCAAGACCCACATTTACAACAATGTTCATGTCAAAACAGCTGTGTGTGGTGTTGCATTGTTATGTTGGAATTGAAAGCCTGGACCATGAAAGGCACCAGGGCCTTTTTACAAAGCTATGGTAATCCTACGACTGTCGTATCTCCTATACTGTAACATAGATTTACGACAGTCGTAGCACTACGGTAGCTTTGTGAAACGGGGCCCAGTTCTGGGACAAGGACCTGGTCATGATATCCCAGTGCATTGAGGTTTTTATGAATTATGAGAAGACGAGAGCCCACATTGCCTCAGAAAGCTCCACAAACCATTTTGCTACTGCCATGAAATTGTTCAGTGTCTGTGCACACACTGGGTGTGAGTTTGCCACTGGAACGCCATGCTCACACTCTTCCGTTGGTATATGCCAGCGACACCCTAACTCTGTTATTTAAACTCTCCTGCACTTTTGTCATTGAAACTATCAAACAAGAAAATAGCACATTTTTTTCCCTTGTGTCTTTATAACACTTTCCTGTTGACAGAAACTATTTGAGGCATAAAATGACTCTTCAAGGATTCTATTGCCCTTATGAACACTGTTCTTTGCTGAGTGTGTTGTTGATCTTGCCGTGGTGCTAATATATGTTGTATATGCATTCAGAGTTTTCTGTCCGATGCACGGTCTGCCACCGAGAAGCCCGAGGCCCACAGTGTACATCCTGCAAACATCTAGTGTTAGAGTGTGCTATTTGTCACACAGGTGTGCGAGGTGAGTCTGTCGGACAAAACAAGCAGTAGGAGCAGTAAACTGTTGGTGTCTTTGTTGTTATTGCTGCTGTCTCTACTTCCAGGAGCTGCCAACTTCTGCATTTCCTGCAGTCATGGAGGTCACACGGAGCATATGGCAGAGTGGTTCCGCACAGAGTTGGTGTGTCCCACAGGCTGTGGCTGTGAATGTCTCAAGGCTCCACCCATGCTGACAGCATGACGGATGTTACATCAGCATATAGCTGAGTGGGTTCAGACTGGGAGACTGTCTCCATGTGCCAACCATACTGAGTGACTGTTTTGGGCTGTGCAACAGATTCAAGAGAGGCAATGTGTCTGCCCTGGTGAAAGTATGAGTGTATGTCAGTGTGCCAGCCATACTGCTGCAGATTAAAGAGAGGAGCAGTGTGTGTGACCTGTGAAAATGTGACTGTTTCAGTTTGTCCTGTTGATGGTGAAATGGGAGAGAGTGTTAAGGTGTGACTGTTTCAGTGTTACCCGGTGTCCGTGTATTGACTGGTTTCAGAGCTCTGTATGTCCTGAAGTCACTATCCCAATGGGATTTGTGGTTGCCAGATCCTAATTTATTCTGTGATTGTGAGTTAACAACTACTGTATCAGTATTCAAGCCATGATTTGAATTTAAATCATTTTGTACAAATGTAAATAAAATTATTTCACATTTATTTGTATGTATTTTATTTACAAAAATTATGATAAATAAAAAGAGTTGAAGGCAAATTGGCTTGGTTCAAAAAGGGAAGAAAACAGACAAGCTACACAAATACTGCGGAGCGTTTAAGACCTTGACACACAATGTTCATTCAGGTTATTTCAGGGAAAACCACGTTGAGATCGTTGTCGTATTTCACCTTTTGGAGAATGGATTCTGTAGCTTGGATGATTCTTAATAATCGGGTCATATGATATGTTGTCTGAAAATGCATCCGTGCTGAAAAACAAAACATGGAATATTGCTAAAAGCGGTGTAAAATTAAACTCACTCACTGTTAAGAAAAATCAGTCTATTTTTATCACTGTAACCTTTGAAACCCATACTTGACCTTTGTTGTACTTACTAAAAATACTGGTAGAATATGCAGTAGTAGACGAGGACGCTGAAGCTGATGAGTATGGACATGATGATGTACATTGCAGTTGCAGCATCAGACTAGAAACAAAGAAAACCATCTTACAATGTCTTGTCCGTGGACAGCTATCAAAAGTCATCAAGTAGACAAGCAAGTCACACAATCAAGAGGGCACTTTGATTCTGGATTAAGTCATGTGACTATTAACCTTCTAGCACCTCACAGGCAGCTTGGGTCTTCTGGTGTAGTAATAATTATATTATATTTGTTAGTGCTATGAGTATTCACCTAGTGAATGGAGCCTAGCACATTGTTAATGCACTTATCATGATTATTATAGTTGTGAGTGGAGCTTAGCACATTGTTAATGCACTTATCATGATTATTATAGTTGTGAGTGGACCTTAGCACATTGTTAATGCACTTATGATTATTATAGTTGTGAGTGGAGCCTAGCACATTGTTAATGCACTTATCATGATTATTATAGTTGTGAGTGGAGCTTAGCACATTGTTAATGCACTTATCATGATTATTATAGTTGTGAGTGGAGCATTGTTAATGCACATTGATTAATGCACACATTGTTAATGCACATATCATGATTATTATAGTTGTGAGTGGAGCTTAGCACATTGTTAATGCACTTATCATGATTATTATAGTTGTGAGTGGAGCTTAGCACATTGTTAATGCACTTAGGATTATTATAGTTGTGAGAGTGGAGCATGATTATTATAGTTGTGAGTGGAGTGGAGCTTTAGCACATTGTTAATGCACTTGTTATCATGATTATTATAGTTGTGAGTGGAGCTTAGCACATTGTTAATGCACTTATCATGATTATCATGATTATTACAGTTGTGAGTGGAGCTTAGCACATTGTTAATGCACTTATCATGATTATTATAGTTGTGAGTGGAGCTTAGCACATTGTTAATGCACTTATCATGATTATTATAGTTGTGAGTGGAGCTTAGCACATTGTTAATGCACTTATCATGATTATTATAGTTGTGAGTGGAGCTTAGCACATTGTTAATGCACTAGCACATTGTTATCATGATTATTATAGTTGTTAATGAGTGGAGCTTAGCAGCACATTGTTAATGCACTTATCATGATTATTATAGTTGTGTTGTGAGTGGAGCTTAGCACATTGTTAATGCACTTATCATGATTATTATAGTTGTGAGTGGAGCTTAGCACATTGTTAATGCACTTATCATGATTATTATAGTTGTGAGTGGAGCCTAGCACATTGTTAATGCACTTATCATGATTATTATAGTTGTGAGTGGAGCCTAGCACATTGTTAATGCACTTATCATGATTATTATAGTTGTGAGTATTCACAGATTCCAAAATAACTTTGCTGATGCACAAAGAGTTTTTAAAGACAAGCTGTGTCACCTGTTGTTATGTGGACACAAGACAAATAGGGAGAGAAGCAAGTCAACTAACATGCTGTACGTCCTGTAGTTATTTTGTTGTTTAAGAAAGTGTATGTTGACTGTTAATGAGACTAACCCCCGGCACTGGTACATCCCAGTACTTGCTGCAGGTCAGGTAGGAGCACACAGCTTCATCCAGGTCAGCTGCAACAGTGGAAGTAGGTGCTGATGGGAAACACATACATGTTGGTGTACATACTGATACCCATCTGTTCTCCATCATGTACAACTCTATACAATATACAGTAATCTTGTGAGGTCACCTTATTGTGTGTGCCATTTTGTCCACTTGATACATCATGACATGTATGTGCAGCTTCTGAATCTGTGTGCATGGTTTCCATGATTGATGATATATTTCCTCCAAGAAAGAGACATGTTTTTCATAATTCCTGCTCTCTGAGAAATATATTTTTTATACATGTCTTCTTGGCCTTTCTGACATGAGCTGTATTATATAAGTGGGATGCTGGCAGGTCACACTGACATGACTGCCCAACAACATCACAGAACAACCCTCTATATGTAGAAGCATGCTCTGTTGCATTCTCTTCCCACAGGTTACTTGTCATATCTTCCTACGATCCTCTGTTCTAATATGGCCCTTTTGTGGTGTGAGTGTTCAGGATTCGTCATTGGTTGCAATCATATTTAGTTGTGCAATCAGCAATGCTGTTTCAAAAGTGATCATTCGCAAGGTCTCGGTAATTTCCGTTTGCTATGGGAAAACTAGAACCTCTTCCCCAGCGCGTTACGCAAACGTTTCTTCTAGACAGAACTCGGTCATGTAATAGCAGTTCAATGGCCCTCGTTGACAACGGATAAGCTAGCCATTAAATGCCTTGTGTGTCACATTAACACAAGTCCCTGGCAGAGGAGGGATATTTGTGGCCCCAGATTTGCTTGTATTAGTCAAGTTGGATCTAAATCGATGTTACATGTGTTCTGATTGGATAGACAGGAGGGAGATAATTTGTGTTGCGATTTTTTGCCGCTAGGGGATTTTACGAGAACTGGGAAATATTGCTGTATTAGAACAGTGGTTCGTAGGAAGATATGACAAGTAACCTGTGGGAAGAGAATGACTCTGTTGATCGACTCATCCCAAAGATGCTGCCCTGTACCTGTTCCTTGCATCAGCATATCGGTCAAGTACAGTCCACACTAAACATTCACCTTGCCAAGCCAAGATTAGGATACCCCATGTGTTACTCCCAGCATGAGGGAAATGATGCTACCAATGCAATGAGGTTGCATGTCTTCAACTAGTCTCGTAAAAAAATGTCTGAAAGATTATCACCAGTATCAATACCCCACAACCTGGTTACCATGGTAACAGCTACAGTTTCCTGAAGCAGTTGAAATAATTGGACCAGTGCTTCCCTCCTACTTACAACTAAAGCAAAAAGTACATACCTGATAACTTTCTTGTTGCATTTTGTGATAAATTCTTGGGAATACACTGAGCCATATATGCCTGCAAGAAGGAATGGTGTCAGTGATGATGTAGATTTAATAACATAATGTATAGGGGTAGTCGGATGGTTCAAATATGTGTGGCATTTGGCAAAGGTTCCATTAATTTAAGGGACACTGGGGTAGCCTAGTGGTTAAAGCATTCGCTCGTCACACTGAAGGTCCGGGTTTGATTCCCCACATGGTTACAATGTGTGAAGCCCATTTCTGGTGTCCCCGCTGTGATATTGCTAAAGGCAGCGTAAAAACCAACTCAATCAATCAATGTAGGGATGTTAATTTCAATTTTTCCCTCTGGCTGCAAAATATTTATACAAAACTGATGAGCAACTCTTGTTAGAAACATTAAATATTCATAAATCAAGCATGATAAGCAGCTAGCATAATTTCAAAAAATAAACATGTAAATCTAGGTTGCACCAATATTATCAATGCTGATGCACATTTAGTTCAAACATTGTTTACACTGTCATATCTTAATGTTGTACAACCGAATTCAGCAATCATGATTTTACACAAGTATATCCAGAATAAAACTGTAGTAACTGTCAGAAAATACAACGGCATCAATAACAAGTTCAATATATTGTTGTGCTTACACAGAAGATGTGAGAAACAATGAAAGTATCTGACCTTGCATTTGTCCTTCATCTCCACAATGTCGTCCTCAATACACAGCTTGACATCCCAGAAGTCTGCCGTACGATGCCCAGAGAGAACATCACATCGATACACGTCACAGTAGTCACTGAGACACACAGAGGAGGGAGACTGTAACAAACAACAGTTGTGTGACACATAGTATATCCTACACAACGGTGCACGTCACTGAGACACACAGAGGAGGGAGACTGTAACAAACAACAGTTGTGTGACACACAGTATATCCTACACAACGGTGCATGTCACTGAGACACACAGAGGAGGAGGGAGACTAATGCACAACAGTTGTGTGACACATAGTATATCCTACACAACGGTGCATGTCACTGAGACACAAGGAGGAGGAGGGAGACTGTAACAAACAACAGTTGTGTGACACATAGTATATCCTACACAACGGTGCATGTCACTGAGACACAAGGAGGAGGGAGACTGTAAGAGACAACAGTTGTGTGACACATAGTATATCCTACACAACGGTGCACGTCACTGAGACACACAGAGGAGGGGGAGGGACTGTAACAAACAACAGTTGTGTGACACATAGTATATCCTACACAAAGGTGCATGTCACTGAGACACAAGGAGGAGGGAGACTGTAAGAGACAACAGTTGTGTGACACATAGTATATCCTACACAACGGTGCACGTCACTGAGACACAAGGAGGAGGAGGGAGACTGTAACAAACAACAGTTGTGTGACACATAGTATATCCTACACAACGGTGCATGTCACTGAGACACACGGAGGAGGAGGGAGACTGTAAGAGACAACAGTTGTGTGACACATAGTATATCCTACACAACGGTGCACGTCACTGAGACACAAGGAGGAGGGAGACTGTAAGAGACAACAGTTGTGTGACACATAGTATATCCTACACAACGGTGCACGTCACTGAGACACAAGGAGGAGGGAGACTGTAAGAGACAACAGTTGTGTGACATAGTATATCCTACACAACGGTGCACGTCACTGAGACACAAGGAGGAGGGAGACTGTAAGAGACAACAGTTGTGTGACACATAGTATATCCTACACAACGGTGCACGTCACTGAGACACAAGGAGGAGGGAGACTGTAACAAACAACAATTGTGTGACACATAGTATATTCTACACAACGGTGCATGTCACTGAGACACACAGAGGAGGAGGGAGACTGTAAGAGACAACAGTTGTGTGACACATAGTATATCCTACACAAAGGTGCACGTCACTGAGACACAAGGAGGAGGAGGGAGACTGTAACAAACAACAATTGTGTGACACATAGTATATTCTACACAACGGTGCATGTCACTGAGACACACAGAGGAGGAGGGAGACTGTAAGAGACAACAGTTGTGTGACACATAGTATATCCTACACAACGGTGCACGTCACTGAGACACACAGAGGAGGAGGGAGACTGTAACAAACAACAGTTGTGTGACACATAGTATATCCTACACAACGGTGCATGTCACTGAGACACAAGGAGGAGGAGGGAGACTGTAACAAACAACAGTTGTGTGACACATAGTATATCCTACACAACGGTGCATGTCACTGAGACACAAGGAGGAGGAGGGAGACTGTAACAAACAACAGTTGTGTGACACATAGTATATCCTACACAACGGTGCATGTCACTGAGACACAAGGAGGAGGGAGACTGTAAGAGACAACAGTTGTGTGACACATAGTATATCCTACACAACGGTGCACGTCACTGAGACACACAGAGGAGGAGGGAGACTGTAACAAACAACAGTTGTGTGACACATAGTATATCCTACACAACGGTGCACGTCACTGAGACACACGGAGGAGGGAGACTGTAACAGACAACAGTTGTGTGACACATAGTATATCCTACACAACGGTGCACGTCACTGAGACACACAGAGGAGGAGGGAGACTGTAACAAACAACAGTTGTGTGACACATAGTATATCCTACACAACGGTGCACGTCACTGAGACACAAGGAGGAGGAGGGAGACTGTAACAGACAACAGTTGTGTGACACATAGTATATCCTACACAACGGTGCACGTCACTGAGACACACAGAGGAGGAGGGAGACTGTAAGAGACAACAGTTGTGTGACACATAGTATATCCTACACAACGGTGCATGTCACTGAGACACACAGAGGAGGAGGGAGACTGTAACAAACAACAGTTGTGTGACACATAGTATATCCTACACAACGGTGCATGTCACTGAGACACACAGGAGGAGGGAGACTGTAAGAGACAACAGTTGTGTGACACATAGTATATCCTACACAACGGTGCACGTCCACTGAGACACACACACAGAGGAGGAGGGAGACTGTAACAAACAACAGTTGTGTGACACATAGTATATCCTACACAACGGTGCATGTCACTGAGACACACAGAGGAGGAGGGAGACTGTAAGAGACAACAGTTGTGTGACACATAGTATATCCTACACTACGGTGCACGTCACTGAGACACACAGAGGAGGAGGGAGACTGTAAGAGACAACAGTTGTGTGACACATAGTATATCCTACACAACGGTGCATGTCACTGAGACACACAGGAGGAGGGAGACTGTAAGAGACAACAGTTGTGTGACACATAGTATATCCTACACAACGGTGCACGTCACTGAGACACAAGGAGGAGGGAGACTGTAACAGACAACAGTTGTGTGACACATAGTATATCCTACACAACGGTGCACGTCACTGAGACACACAGAGGAGGAGGAGACTGTAAGAGACAACAGTTGTGTGACACATAGTATATCCTACACAACGGTGCACGTCACTGAGACACACAGGGAGGAGGGAGACTGTAAGAGACAACAGTTGTGTGACACATAGTATATCCTACACAACGGTGCACGTCACTGAGACACACAGGAGGAGGGAGACTGTAAGAGACAACAGTTGTGTGACACATAGTATATCCTACACACTCACGTGCACGTCACTGAGACACAAGGAGGAGGGAGACTGTAAGAGACAACAGTTGTGTGACACATAGTATATCCTACACAACGGTGCATGTCACTGAGACACAGGAGGAGGAGGGAGACTGTAACAAACAACAGTTGTGTGACACATAGTATATCCTACACAACGGTGCATGTCACTGAGACACAAGGAGGAGGGAGACTGTAACAAACAACAGTTGTGTGACACATAGTATATCCTACACAACGGTGCACGTCACTGAGACACACAGAGGAGGAGGAGGGAGACTGTAAGAGACAACAGTTGTGTGACACATAGTATATCCTACACAACGGTGCACGTCACTGAGACACACAGAGGAGGAGGGAGACTGTAAGAGACAACAGTTGTGTGACACATAGTATATCCTACACAACGGTGCACGTCACTGAGACACACAAGGAGGAGGGAGACTGTAACAAACAACAGTTGTGTGACACATAGTATATCCTACACAACGGTGCATGTCACTGAGACACACAGAGGAGGAGGGAGACTGTAACAAACAACAGTTGTGTGACACATAGTATATCCTACACAACGGTGCATGTCACTGAGACACACAGGAGGAGGAGGGAGACTGTAACAAACAACAGTTGTGTGACACATAGTATATCCTACACAACGGTGCATGTCACTGAGACACACAGAGGAGGAGGGAGACTGTAAGAGACAACAGTTGTGTGACACATAGTATATCCTACACAACGGTGCACGTCACTGAGACACAAGGAGGAGGGAGACTGTAACAAACAACAGTTGTGTGACACATAGTATATCCTACACAACGGTGCACGTCACTGAGACACACAGGAGGAGGGAGACTGTAACAAACAACAGTTGTGTGACACATAGTATATCCTACACAACGGTGCATGTCACTGAGACACACAGAGGAGGAGGGAGACTGTAAGAAACAACAGTTGTGTGACACATAGTATATCCTACACAACGGTGCATGTCACTGAGACACAAGGAGGAGGAGGGAGACTGTAAGAGACAACAGTTGTGTGACACATAGTATATCCTACACAAAGGTGCATGTCACTGAGACACACGGAGGAGGGAGACTGTAAGAGACAACAGTTGTGTGACACATAGTATATCCTACACAACGGTGCACGTCACTGAGACACAAGGAGGAGGGAGACTGTAAGAGACAACAGTTGTGTGACACATAGTATATCCTACACAACGGTGCACACGTCACTGACACACAAGGAGGAGGGAGACTGTAAGAGACAACAGTTGTGTGACACATAGTATATCCTACACTACGGTGCACGTCACTGAGACACAAGGAGGAGGGAGACTGTAAGAGACAACAGTTGTGTGACACATAGTATATCCTACACAACGGTGCACGTCACTGAGACACACACAAGGAGGAGGGAGACTGTAACAAACAACAGTTGTGTGACACATAGTATATCCTACACAACGGTGCATGTCACTGAGACACACAGAGGAGGAGGGAGACTGTAACAAACAACAGTTGTGTGACACATAGTATATCCTACACAACGGTGCACGTCACTGAGACACACAGAGGAGGAGGAGACTGTAAGAGACAACAGTTGTGTGACACATAGTATATCCTACACAACGGTGCACGTCACTGAGACACACAGAGGAGGAGGGAGACTGTAAGAGACAACAGTTGTGTGACACATAGTATATCCTACACAACGGTGCACGTCACTGAGACACACAAGGAGGAGGGAGACTGTAACAAACAACAGTTGTGTGACACACAGTATATCCTACACAATGGTGCATGTCACTGAGACACACAGAGGAGGAGGGAGACTAACAAACAACAGTTGTGTGACACATAGTATATCCTACACAACGGTGCATGTCACTGAGACACAAGGAGGAGGAGGGAGACTGTAACAAACAACAGTTGTGTGACACATAGTATATCCTACACAAAGGTGCATGTCACTGAGACACACGAGGAGGAGGGAGACTGTAAGAGACAACAGTTGTGTGACACATAGTATATCCTACACAACGGTGCACGTCACTGAGACACAAGGAGGAGGGAGACTGTAACAAACAACAGTTGTGTGACACATAGTATATCCTACACAACGGTGCACGTCACTGAGACACACAAGGAGGAGGGAGACTGTAACAAACAACAGTTGTGTGACACATAGTATATCCTACACAACGGTGCATGTCACTGAGACACACAGAGGAGGAGGGAGACTAACAAACAACAGTTGTGTGACACATAGTATATCCTACACAACGGTGCATGTCACTGAGACACAAGGAGGAGGAGGGAGACTGTAAGAGACAACAGTTGTGTGACACATAGTATATCCTACACAAAGGTGCATGTCACTGAGACACACGGAGGAGGGAGACTGTAAGAGACAACAGTTGTGTGACACATAGTATATCCTACACAACGGTGCACGTCACTGAGACACAAGGAGGAGGGAGACTGTAAGAGACAACAGTTGTGTGACACATAGTATATCCTACACAACGGTGCACGTCACTGACACACACAAGGAGGAGGGAGACTGTAAGAGACAACAGTTGTGTGACACATACTATATCCTACACAACGGTGCACGTCACTGAGACACACAAGGAGGAGGGAGACTGTAACAAACAACAGTTGTGTGACACATAGTATATCCTACACAACGGTGCACGTCACTGAGACACAAGGAGGAGGGAGACTGTAAGAGACAACAGTTGTGTGACACATAGTATATCCTACACTACGGTGCACGTCACTGAGACACAAGGAGGAGGAGGGAGACTGTAACAGACAACAGTTGTGTGACACATAGTATATCCTACACAACGGTTGCTTGTCACTGAGACACACAGAGAGGAGGGAGACTGTAACAGAACAACAGTTGTGTGACACATAGTATATCCTACACAGCGGTGCATGTCACTGAGACACACAGAGGAGGAGGAGGGAGACTGTAACAAACAACAGTTGTGTGACACATAGTATATCCTACACAACGGTGCATGTCACTGAGACACACAGAGGAGGAGGGAGACTGTAAGAGACAACAGTTGTGTGACACATAGTATATCCTACACAACGGTGCACGTCACTGAGACACACAAGGAGGAGGGAGACTGTAACAAACAACAGTTGTGTGACACATAGTATATCCTACACAACGGTGCATGTCACTGAGACACACAGAGGAGGAGGGAGACTAACAAACAACAGTTGTGTGACACATAGTATATCCTACACAACGGTGCATGTCACTGAGACACAAGGAGGAGGAGGGAGACTGTAACAAACAACAGTTGTGTGACACATAGTATATCCTACACAACGGTGCATGTCACTGAGACACACAGGAGGAGGGAGACTGTAACAAACAACAGTTGTGTGACACATAGTATATCCTACACAACGGTGCATGTCACTGAGACACAAGGAGGAGGGAGACTGTAAAACAACAGTTGTGTGACACATAGTATATCCTACACAACGGTGCACGTCACTGAGACACAAGGAGGAGGGAGACTGTAAGAGACAACAGTTGTGTGACACATAGTATATCCTACACAACGGTGCACGTCACTGAGACACAAGGAGGAGGGAGACTGTAAGAGACAACAGTTGTGTGACACATAGTATATCCTACACAACGGTGCACGTCACTGAGACACACGGAGGAGGAGGGAGACTGTAACAAACAACAGTTGTGTGACACATAGTATATCCTACACAACGGTGCCGTCACTGAGACACAAGGAGGAGGGAGACTGTAACAAACAACACTTGTGTGACACATAGTATATCCTACACAACGGTGCACACTGAGACACACAAGGAGGAGGAGACTGTAACAAACAACAGTTGTGTGACACACAGTATATCCTACACAACGGTGCATGTCACTGAGACACACAGAGGAGGAGGGAGACTGTACAAACAACAGTTGTGTGACACATAGTATATCCTACACAACGGTGCATGTCACTGAGACACAAGGAGGAGGAGGGAGACTGTAACAAACAACAGTTGTGTGACACATAGTATATCCTACACAACGGTGCATGTCACTGAGACACAAGGAGGAGGAGACTGTAAGAGACAACAGTTGTGTGACACATAGTATATCCTACACAACGGTGCACGTCACTGACACACAAGGAGGAGGGAGACTGTAAGAGACAACAGTTGTGTGACACATAGTATATCCTACACAACGGTGCACGTCACTGACACACAAGGAGGAGGGAGACTGTAACAAACAACAGTTGTGTGACACATAGTATATCCTACACAACGGTGCACGTCACTGAGACACACACGGAGGAGGGAGACTGTAAGAGACAACAGTTGTGTGACACATAGTATATCCTACACAACGGTGCACGTCACTGAGACACAAGGAGGAGGGAGACTGTAACAGACAACAGTTGTGTGACACATAGTATATCCTACACAACGGTGCACGTCACTGAGACACACGGAGGAGGAGGGAGACTGTAACAAACAACAGTTGTGTGACACATAGTATATCCTACACAACGGTGCACGTCACTGAGACACACGGAGGAGGAGGGAGACTGTAAGAGACAACAGTTGTGTGACACATAGTATATCCTACACAACGGTGCATGTCACTGAGACACACGGAGGAGGAGGGAGACTGTAACAAACAACAGTTGTGTGACACATAGTATATCCTACACAACGGTGCACGTCACTGAGACACACACAGGAGGAGACAACAGTTGGGGATTGTTTAAAACAAGACTTATAGTTGTGTGTCACATAGTTTATCCTACACAAAGATAACCAAAATAGGGAGATGCAAGACAAAACAGTAGTTGTGCGGCATACAGTATATTCTCTACAGTGGTAAACAGAAGAGGGAAAATGTAATACAAGAATCAAGAGCTGAGTAATGCCTGACATTTTGCAATACAAAACTGATCGCGACATGGGCTGATGATACCACAAGGATCATGATAATGACAAATTTATTGATGACAACTTATTTTATTTTGTGAGTGCAACATTTCAGTACAGATTCTTTTTCAATTGTCAATCAGGAATGCAAGTTGTTATGTAAGACATTTTTAAATGTTCTGTGGGCACGTCCTCTACCACCACATTGTCATGTTCCGCCAAGCCCACAAGGTTCCAAAATACCACTTCTGCTTTTACAGGAGAAAACTTCATCACTTCCTGTTCTATTCATAGTGTATCACAGTCTCACAAACTGATTATTCCAGTATGGTCTGTACCTAAGTATCCATGATATAGGCCTCAGTGAAATGTCCCAGCTCCATAATAGACTATAGTTGTGTAGCATATAATATACCTTACCCAGTGATGCTTCATGAGGCAGCACCATGACAGCTACACATGGTATTATGATGTTACTACAGATAGGAAAATACTCAAGCCTGGAACAGCTCAAGTGTTACCTGCTGGATACTGTCAGGATGCCTCCGGTCAAAGTGTCTGTCAATGAATGGCTCAGCCAGGAATGCTTTTCCACAGTATTCACACTTCCATTTGTTGTAGGACTCCATCACTTTGTGGCTCCTGTAATAAGGAATTTATATGTAGTGAGTTGGTGCCCACTTTTCCACACTGGTAATGTTGTGCATCACATACTCAAACTCACGATCAGATGCAAGTTCATTCAAATCTGAGTCATCTCTCTGCCAAATTTGGAATACCATCCAATGCCCATGAGAAGTCTCACAAGCAGAATTCTCTAAACATCACATCTTTCAGTGTATAAACTGAAAATAAAGAGTTAGTTCTGAATTGTGAATAAAGAATGTCCTTGAAATTCTTCAAAGGCATTTAGAAGTTGTTATCCATAAGATTTGTCTTGTATTAAGAATGTCCTTGTTATCTTGTATATGTTTTACACCATGTTGCTAAGTCACATCTTTCTATCAACAACAATTTCTTCTAGCTGAGGATATATTTCACTGAAACAAAATATATATTAGTAAGCAGCCTGCCAATGCTGTCCAAGCGTGAAGGTGCATCTTCAGATACCGATGTCGTAAGAGGCGACTAAAGGGATCGGGTGGTCAGGCTCGCTGACTTGAGTGACACATGTCATTGGTTCCCCATTGTGCAGATGGATGCTCATGCTGTTGATCACTGGATTGTCTGGTCCAGACTCGATTATTTACAGACCGCCGCCATATAGCTGAAATATTGCTGAGTGAGGCATAAAACTAAACTCACTCACTCAGATACTGATTATCATAATCATCATGTGTGCACAAGTTCCTTCCTTGCCCTGTCTACTGACATGTTGCCATGGTTACACAGTACCTGATTGTAGTAGATATCTCTTTGCAGGGAGAAAGGACAGGAATCTGGCATCATGCTGCCAACGTCCTTGTATATGTCCCATAGTTTCTGTTGAACAAAACATTATCACCTTTGCAGGAAAATATTTATTAGACTTTGAGCTTATGAAAGAAAAAGAAATAACCTCAAGCATATTTATGTCTTTAACATTACATTCTCAGGCTTATGTTTTGCCAATTCTGGTTTAAAGATGATACTAAATTTTGTAGAACTATTTCTCAATGTAAGTGAGTGTGTGCAAATACAAAACGCAACCGTGGACCATATGTAACATGTTTCAGGAAATTATAACCTGTGTTCATCTAAACTGATTGTTTCAGCTGTTTCACATCAGTGCCATGTCTCATTGCTGAGCTGAGCAAGCATGCAAGACATCTATGCTCATGATACCCACGGTTCTTTGATAAAATCAGTTTTGACAAAACCACTGAGCAACATAACAGTGATTAATGAATCATACACATTTCACTAATTTGCAAGGTGAAAGTTTTTTTCTAAGCATAATCCGATCAAATATGATCCTTGCTGTTCCGAGACCCAATCAGTTGGGTGGCTCATTCTAACTGGCTTCCGAACATAATGCGGGCTAATTAAAATGGGTCAACTGGATGGTTAAAAGATGGAGTTTTGTTTCCCTTTAAATAAAGGTCACCCCCACTGAAAAAAAGAGACACATTTTTCATTCCTGATTTTCATGTACCGTATGTTGAAATAAATGTTGGTCATTGTAGCTGTGTTTACATCTGGTACTGCTGCGGTCACCCTCAGACTATCCTGATACATTACAACCACCCTGCTAATACAAATCTCTCACATACAGGTCTTTAGGAGGCTAAACAATAGGTATTACAGTATATTACTTAGAAATGTTTAGCTTCCATTATATTTAATGTTTGAAAGTTTGATTAACAAAAGTAAAATATCTTTGATCTTGTAAACTACTGTATAAGGACCGTTTACAAGTTATGGCTTGGGGTTGTGTGGTGGGTGGTGATGATTTTAAGTGGGGTCACTCATTTTGTTCTGGGGAGGTAGTGGGGTGTCATCAATTTTGTACACATGTACTAGGTGTGTGTGTGTGTGTGTGTGTGTGTGTGTCTCGTCATTGTTTTTGTACATAACATGCAGGGGGTCACTTACTTTGTGCATAACTTTTAGGGGGGGGGGGTGTCATTCACAGTGTACATGCTTCTCCATAAAAATCATCATCACCACCCTAGCATAAAAAATGAACGGTCCCTAACTCATAAGGCTGTAGGTGAATTCGTAGACCAGACTGGTTCGTAGACGTGGAAATCCGGTGGATTCGTAGGCGGATTGAGCGGTGGATTCGTAGACGTTAGTAAAATGGGAAAAGTTCAACCTCAATGATGATGAAAATCGACATTATGACTTTATACACAATCGAAGTAAAAATCAAACTTAATATATACTATTATTCAATTATTAATACACGTCTACGAAATCATCGTCTACGAACCAGCCTGGGTTACGAATCCACCGCGTCTACGAACTGGTTCAGTCTACGAAATCACCGTATCCCACTCATACCTAGCTGTGTACACTGAAATGTCAGAGTTATCACACAATGTCATGCTTACACTATGACAAACACGGAGTTTTTGTCAGTGAACTTACAAATCTGACCACATTGCGTACTATCTTGGAGCTCTCTCTGGAGCATCGGTTAGCTCGACCTGGCTGCACTGACCAGAGAAAAACCTGAAACATAAAACATTTACAAAATAAGAATGAAAATTAACGTTTTAAACTGTAAAACAATGATAAAGGACCTCAGTAATTTGTATTCCTTTACCCAGAAGGTCTACCTGGCTCTCAGGTACCACTGTTAAGGGCATGACGATATTAGGGGTGTTGTATACTTTACAGCATGTGCAATTTTCTCACTGATCCAGTGATCATGGTGATCGAGTCTATAGACTATATATCGATTCGTGACTTCCACCAGTATTGCTCATAATATTTGTGTCATCCTTTAAGCAATATAATCCACGATACACGATCTATTTCAGCTATGTAGAAGCATAAGAATGCTTTATTAAAATTTTTAGTGGGTGGTCTCCTTACCATGAATAAGAAAAACAATTTCATCTTAGTGTCTTCCTTTCAAACCGATTCCATGGGCGCCGCCATTTTGTCGTAAAGCGTTCTTGTAGTTTATCGTAACAACAACAGTGGGAAGATGCTTACTTTGAAATTTAAAGAAAGATTAATGGCGGACTCTCTGTATGAATTCTCGTATGATCGTTCTCAATGATTTAAATCTTTAACCCACGGAATAAGTGGACTTCCTGATATACTGGTTCTACTGTTGGTTCGCGACTTGACCTAGCGCTTTCATAAGCTGGTTCCCGACTCCCTTAGCGCGCGACTTGCAATATGCGAGACGAGGCCCAGCTTAGCGCTTTAAAATTCAGCGAAGTATGACTACATGTTGTATGATTGAGGCAACATGTATTTACATGGAAATTATGAAGTACCACATGGTTTAACGGTGGTGGTGTTAATGCTTATAGATTAGTAAGGTATATTAATGTGAACAAAGTTGTTAACCCACCATATATGCCACAAATATATAGTTCTACCCCAAATACACAGAGACCAAAGGACAGAGACGGGACAGGAGAACCAAGATGTGTGGTGCTGTACCTTACCAAACAAACCCGTGTATTACTAACCACTATATTGGATATAAAGGGGGTTAGGAAAGTACATACTTACCCAGAAATCAGCAAAGTTAAGATTTCAACTTACTCGGCAATAAACGCTTTTATGGATTATGCCAGATTAACGCTTAATACCAAATTCGATTACTAAGATGGATTAAACCACCGTAAACTAAACAAGAATAAGTTTACGTGACCAAATATACAAATTATGACAATCGGGAACTAATCAGGGAAACTAACACTAACGACTATGTTAACTAATTAATCTAAACTAAGTGATCTAAACTAACTAATCTAAACTAACTAATGCAAACTAATTAATCTTACGTGAGAGATGACATCGTATGCTAGCTAAGTATTATGGCAGCAGGAGATACAGAAGAGCTGCAAATACTTTACCAAGTCGCAGACCAGTCAACCAAGGAATATGTATTCCGTACAACTGATGTCAACATCACAAAGCTAATTGTTTACTAACACTGACTGTATTGGTACATTTCCACCAATCTTCAGATACAATCTTCAGAGTCAAGTGAATAAACAGCTTATTCCATAATGAGCTCAAGGTATCAAAAAACTGTGCTCCGTCTTTCCTCAGTAACTAGGACACACCTTAAAGATACTGTCATTGGGAGTCACCGATCGGCCATGCTGAATGGACGTACTTGCTAGCACTGTCAACTTTAGGGGTCGAGCTTGGGGCTTCTCCAATAGACAAACTTGAATCCCACCAGGGATGCCATTGTAACGGCGGTATCACGTCAAGATTTGAAAACAGACGAATACTTGTAAGGGGTTCAGGGATTTATGGTCTTTGATGATGGATCAGGTGATAAAACCCTTGAAATAAAACATAAACATCTCAAATTACTGGTATACAGCAACAAGTACATAGTAAACATATAATTACATTTAATATTTTCTGTACACCACAAGGGTTACTCAATTTAAGTATAAATATAAGCCTATCTTACAAATTACAGACATACAGATGAAAATCTGATATGTAACATAACATTAAGAACACAACCCATGCAATTACTAACCTCGTCTCAGGGACGCAGGTAATCCACAGTCTAAACCACCAGTGGCAAATGAGTGCTTCAAAGACCTAATAATAAAATAACACAATTAAATACAATCTATATTACACACACACACACACACTCTTTCTCATGTCATCCATAATATGTACCTAATCTACAATGTATACACTATAGTCTACATTAACCAAACGTGTAATAATCATAATACATAACAGTGTGTCATGATATTAAGCATATAAAATATTTACATCATATCATCATGTAGATGATATAACAACACATAATATATTTCAGACATATGATTAAAACTAACTAGACTAAAACATCATATCCTAACCTCCTTATGATAATATACATACAAAGACATCTAAAGTAACTTACCCCAATAAGTGCAGTGCTATGATAAAGGAGACAGAGTTGAAATAGTTGCAGTCAGAGTTGAAATTGTAGCAGTGACCAGAAAAAGAATGTTGGGGTACATAAAACTCAAGATCTGGTCACATGCTCTAGAAACAATAGCAAATCAATCACTGGCCAAGCCGTGGCTGGACCAGGAGTCTGAAGAAAAATAGAACCCCATGCAGGCTTACATAAGGATTAGTAAAGTGCTGGGTTAATTCAAAGGGTTGTTATATTGCTTAACTAAATTATCTACTTAGGTTTAAAATACACAATATTTACATTCTGCTACAATATGACAAGTGAATGTTGTGCAGTCTAAGTAAACTTAGGCTCAGTATTATTCGTTTCACTGCAACGCGGCACGGGGTCTTTCACTGTGAAAGATGAAAATTATTATATCAGAGCAGAGACCATGTCATAAAGATTTTGGACATATGTTTATTATTCGTTTGGGGGTATTTGTAACATTTATGTTTAATATTCTGACGACGAATAGATAGTTATTTACTTTCAAATGCATTTCTTAATATTTAACGATTATTTCAATTTTTCTAAAACCGTTGTACATCACAAAGATTGAACGGGTTAGTAGAATCTCTAGTACGTCCGTTAGCTGTACAGCATAAACATATATAGCCCACGCCATCATCCTATATGTAGCCCACGCCATCATCCTATATGTAGCCCACGCCATCATCCTATATGTAGCCCACGCCATCATCCTATATGTAGCCCACGCCATCATCCTATATATAGCCCACGTCATCATCCTATATTTAGCCCACGCCATCATCCTATAAGTAGCCCACGCCATCATCCTATATGAAGCCCACGCCATCATCCTATATGTAGCCCACGCCATCATTCTATATGTAGCCCACGCCATCATCCTATATGTAACCCACGCCATCATCCTATATGTAGCCCACGCCATCATCCTATATGTAGCCCACGCCATCATTCTATATGTAGCCCACGCCATCATCCTATATGTAACCCACGCCATCATCATATATGTAGCCCACGCCATCATCCGCGGGTCCTCAGGTGCCATTCCTTACATAAACATATATAGCCCACGCCATCATCCGCGGGGCCTCAGGTGCCATTCCTTACATAAACATATATAGCCCACGTCATCATCCGCGGGTCCTCAGGTGCCATTCCTTACATAAACATATATAGCCCACGCCATCATCCGCGGGGCCTCAGGTGCCATTCCTTACATAAACATATATAGCCCACGTCATCATCCGCGGGTCCTCAGGTGCCATTCCTTACATAAACATATATAGCCCACGCCATCATCCACGGGGCCTCAGGTGCCATTCCTTACATAAACATATATAGCCCACGCCATCATCCGCGGGGCCTCAGGTGCCATTCCTTACATAAACATATATAGCCCACGCCATCATCCGCGGGGCCTCAGGTGCCATTCCTTACATAAACATATATAGCCCACGCCATCATCCGCGGGGCCTCAGGTGCCATTCCTTACATAAACATATATAGCCCACGCCATCATCCGCGGGGCCTCAGGTGCCATTCCTTGCTTGCACTTCGACAGTAAGACCCTCTCACTCGCATCACTGATGGTTTCCACCAACAATAAACTGACACGTGCTAATAAAACTGAACTGTTGTTCTCTGTGTAGTGAAACCTTATTTGTTTATCATGCACGTCCTTCAGTATTCTGTTTATGCGACAGGTAGACAATTATTATTATGATACATGCGTTCGAGTGAAGTTCGCAGAAGCAGAACTGCTATCATTATTGAACGGATTATATTTTGAACACACTGGAATTTTAACACTTCGGTCATATTGTGATAACACCAGGGGCGGGTGGTAGCCCAGTGGTTAAAGCGTTCGCTCGTCACGCCGAAGACCCGGGTTCGATTCCCCACATGGGTGAAACCCATTTCTGGTGTTCCCCGCCGTGATTATTGCTGGAATATTGCTAAAAGCGTCGTAAAACCCAACTCACTCACTCACTTGTGATAACACCAATATAACAAATCATACATATGGCTTTTGAAATACTTACAATGGAAAGGAGTGCATAAAAATCATCACAACTTTCCTTTGAATTACATTTCCTTTCAATGGCGTGACGGCACGGACTTGACATGGACAGGAAGCCTATGGAATATAGTTCTAAATTGAATTAGTTAGACTATAGTTGCTTGGTTTTAAAATTGATTGATTTCAAACGTGCCATGACTATATATGTCAGCACTCATCCTGAAATCCTGACGGAATCTACTACATCTAGGGTTAAGTTGCTTATGAAAACCATATCTATTCTTAGACATAGAATGATATAAATAAACCCGGGGGTTACGGGTGGAAATCTTTCCAGGTCCCAAATCTGTCTCAGATCTGCTGTTGTGAAGCCTCTTTTCAAGAAAAGCGATTTAGACCCAACTTTCTGAGAAACTACAGACCTGTGTCAAATTTTACATTTATCTCCAAAATCATCGAAAATACATTGAATATAAGACTTTTAAAAATATCATCTCACTGAATATGGACTTATGGATGAGTCTGCCTACCGTTATAATCACAGCACAGAAAGTGCTTTGTTGCGAGTCATGAATGAGCTCAGAAGTCGAGTCGATGATGGGAATTTTGCTTCTTTAACACTGTGGACCACAAGCTACTACTATCAAGACTGGATTGCGTCATTTACCTGAGAAATAGATGACAAACCTTCATCAATCAAGAAGAGTCTAAATGTTTCTCACTATCACGTGGAGTACCTCAAGGATCTGTGCTGTGTCCTGTGCTGTTTGTGCTATACAACTAGTCTAGGTAGAGTGAGAGAAAATAATAGAATAGACCATGCATCTTATGCTGATGATAGTTGATTGACAGCTTCATACCCGTGAATGTTCAGGAGGCCCTGCAACGTACTACCAGTGTATGAAATAAGCAAAAAATCCAGACAGACATCAGGGCTGGTAACCACAAAATGTTACCAGCCCAAAATGGATGTAACCAGACCAAATATGGTGAATTTACTCAGATGTATGGAACATCTAAAAGTTTTACCAGACAATTTGGCTGGCTAGCTGTAAATTTAGACCGCCCGTCAGAAATCTAGACCGTTTCGGGCGGTCGGACGGGCCTTATTTCATACACTGGTACTACTGATTGCACAACTAATGTCAAGACCTGGATGTCATCAAATATGATGAAGCTAAAGAAGCATTGTTGATAGGCACTAAACATGATTTGTCTGCCATTCCTGTTACCTCAGTCGAAGTTGGAAATGCTTCAACCCCTTTCCCTGACCATGTAAGAAACCATGGCGTCATCATTGATTCTCAGCTTACAACGGGACTACAAATAGATAAACTTTGTAAAGCCTTATACTACCATATCCGTCGTGTCAGTCAAATACCCCATCTCATAACAAGAGATGCCTCTAAAACACTTGTGCAAATGCTTGTTCATTCTAGACTTGACTATTGTAACAGCTTACTGATAGGAATCAGTAAACGTAAGCTGTACACACTCCATAGTCTGTCGTACAGACCCTGAAGCAAATATATCCAAGAAAGCCTACGCAAGTCTAGAAAATGTGGCAAGTCTAGATTTCCTCAGATGAAGAAAGTATCAGGGCTCCTTTTCATTATATATATATTTTTTTACTATGAACTTTTTTCAGTAAAATATGTTCATTTCAGAGATTGGTTGTTAGTCTACAAACTCCAGGTCCATAACACTGCTGCCATGACTAGAACCCACAAATCATCCCACATAACGCCTGTTCATAAAGATTTGCACTGGCTTCCCATTGAAGCAAGAATCAACTGTAAAGTTCTATGTATGGTGTACAAATGTCAAAATGACATGGCACCATCATATCTCTCTAATATGCTATTAGACTATATCCCTATAAAGACTTTCGATCTCAAAATCTGAATCATCTGAACATACAGAAATATTTCTGACTTTATCATACCATACATATGTTATTCAATCACTCATATCAAACATACAGGAATCCATTCAAATTTACCAGCCATTGCCCTACAGATATTCAGATATACAATGTTTAGGTGCTAAGTACATCGGTTAGAGTTTATTGTTTTAATTGCACAGGTAATCATAATAACTCACTGAACCGTGAGTGTATCTTCAACTACAAATATGTACAAGATACGATGTATTGCAAGTAAATCAAACCCCAATTGAATTATACATTCCATCATATTTCTAATTATAATAAACTAGACACTATCCCTATATGTAACATTTGATACAATATGAACCCACCTGAAGTCCTTGTATGATAAATATTTGAGAACAGTGTGTGTCGATCCTTCCTTTAGAAATAAGACAGAGAGTGAGTTTAAAATCTCAACATTGAGGAAGAAGAAAAAGAAGAAAAATATTTTATTAAAGTTTCAGACACTTCATGAAAGTGTCCGGCCTACATTGACCTATGGGACACTAAAAGCATATAGGACATGTTGTACATAAAAAGTAATATATTAAAAGGTTAATACTGTAAAATATATTAAAAGGTTAATACTGTAAAATATAATAAAAGGTTAATACTGTAAAATATAATAAAAGGTTAATACTGTAAAATATATTAAAAGGTTAATACTGTAAAATATAATAAAAGGTTAATACTGTAAAATATAATAAAAGGTTAATACTGTAAAATATAATAAAAGGTTAATACTGTAAAATATAATAAAAGGTTAATACTGTAAAATATAATAAAAGGTTAATACTGTAAAATATAATAAAAGGTTAATACTGTAAAATATAATAAAAGGTTAATACTGTAAAATATATTAAAAGGTTAATACTGTAAAATATAATAAAAGGTTAATACTGTAAAATATAATAAAAGGTAAAAGATACATAAAATACAGTATGACCCAGTGAGATAATATTAAGTGGCTCATGTGTGGACATTCCTATAGGAAAACATGGTAAAAACCGTTGCGGCTATGGATTTTATATGGCATTCGTTGGATAATACGTAAATAGCTTTATCAACTGAGGATAAGGCATTGAAGGACCTATCATTTATGTCTAGTTTATTAAAGAGCTTATATCTGATTTAATTATAAAAGCTACATATAACAAAAATATGAACCTCGTCCTCAGAGTTACTGTTACAAAATTGCATGTGCGATTTTCTAATGGAGTTATGGGTCGTGTAAAATGTCAATTTCCACTTCAAGTAGCAATGATCCGCATCGTAACTTGTTGAGGATACTTCGATGTGAACCATTAAGAATAGCTAAAATTACATAATATTCAACAGAAAGGGTGTTCTTGAATAAGCGATAGGTACGTAGTTTGTTGCCATTGGGGAGGTTACGATCATTCCACAAGCCAGCCAGCCAGCCGTTGTGGTCCTTCAGTGTAAGTATATCTTAAACACATACATATTCAGAATCTGTAACATCATAGACGTCAGTAAATGTGAACTGTGAACTGAGTATAACGTTTTTAATTCTGTTATGCCATGATTTACGAAATTTGCTCGACCACTGGTGGATTTTACATGCAATTCTGTCCGAGTCCATACCGGAAAGTTTACGCCAGTAATTGATTCAATCTTATGATTCGTGGAGGGGGCGGTCCAACCAATTTCACCTCGTACTGACAGATTCGGAGTTTTCCGTCAAACAGCAAGGAAGAAACAACAGGCTTTGTTCTGTACAGCGTTGATGCATGAATATTCCCTTGTCCCCCATATAGCAAGTATGTGAGGAGGATCACTTTCTTTTTTAGAAAAGGGGTTTTGAATCTAAGACAGTACCCAAATATTTGTATTCAGTTACTCTTTCTATCTCATTGTCTTCAATACATACAGCATTTATTGTTGACATAGCTTTTCTAAAATCTATGATCATTGCTTTGGTTTTTTGCACATCCCAACATAAAAAAGTTTCATTTACACCATTCTACAAATTTAGAAATTTCAGCCCCGTAACTTAGTTCTGATTCTCTAATAGGGCCTACAAATGCATCATCAGCGAATTTAACTGTAAAACATGTTTCTGCGTTGGATGCACAGTCATTGGTGTACAATGTAAACAAAATTGGTGAAATAAAGCAACCTTTGGAGCACCAGTGGATGTGTTTACAATTGATGATTTAACATTATTAACCTGTACAAATTCTTGTCTGTTAACTAGAAATGAATTTATCTATTTGATGATGTTAAAATTAACATTCATTTTGGACAGTTTAATTTTGTTTAGGATACATATCTGAAGTACCCGCGCCGACAACGACTATTTCATCCCCAGCAATGATACCAAACGTTCAATTTGGAAAAACACTTTGTACTGTCCACGGCGACCTTTTCGAGCCATTTTGTCTTACTTGGTCATGAGAGGCATCGGAACCAAATCTGTCGCCAAACCTTTATATGAAAGATGAGCTATCCTTGATTTCTATGACTAGTATATGAGTGATACGTGGTGATGGATATTCAGATACGCTGACTAAAATGTAAGCTAAGCTGCACTAAGCTTAGTCTGTCAAACAGACCCTGAAACAAATATGTCCAAGAAAGCCCGTGCAAGTCTAGAATATAGGGCAAGTCTAGATTTCCACAGTTTCTAGGGGATAAAAAGTCTCCGGGCTCCTTTTCATTATATTTCATTTTTTTTAATTATGAACTGTTTTATCTGTGAAATATGTTCTCTTCAGAGACTATTAGTCTGTACTAAGCTGTAGCCAGATCAGCTAAATTCCGGGCACTGAAACAAAGGGGGTTAACTCTTGTTGGTATATATTGCCACTTCCGTGAAAAATGGAAAACAAAAATAGATACAGGTATTTCCTATTTTCCGTAGTAGACCTTATGTGAGACTGATAGGGAAGAAAAGGTTACGTTCATGTTGAAGAATGTCAGAAAATGAAGAATATTTTATCCTGCTCGTTAAGAAACTGGGCAAGAAGAAGGAGCGAGGGTTTGTGTCGTCACTAAAATCGGGGTCCAAAGTTGAGTTATTAGCTGGAACACTTCTCTGCTTAACAGATAACTTCAATAAAGGAGACAAATTGATCTTCCTTCTAGAGACTTTAGATAGTGAAACAGTTGAAATTCAGTGTATTCCAGGAGAAATAGAAACAGTCAACCTGGGAGCTTTTGATCTGCTCAACCCAGTACCAACATGTCAGGACAGACTTGCCGTTTACCAAGACAAGGAATGGATGAAAGAAGGCCTTGCGCTTAAAGAAGGCGAGCGAGTATTAGTGAAACCAAAAGGAGAACAAACAGAATTACCAGGCATCCTTCGCTACAAAGGCAAAGTACCAAATATTAAAGGAATCATATTTGGTGTGGAGTTAACTGTAAGTAGACTCATTGCATGTGTTTTTCAAATGCTCATTAATAATCACTTGTCATGTGTTATAATGCACTCCAGGATGTTACATTTCACTTCTGTTACCGGTAGCCTATTGTATACTGATACTCTGCTGATAAGAATCCACTGTAATACTTTTGACGTTATACATGAATACATTTGACCCAGAAACGTGTAGATAAACCAAGTATATATATGGATGATATATTTATTCTAGAGCACCACGTTTCGATACAGGTTCTTGTATCGTTTTCAAGTAACAATGGTAATGTGTAGGCTAGCCGAGAGCCGCGATGCGGTCCTATACAGTCAAGACATGACCGTATAGGACCGGAGCTCGGCTCTCGGCTACGTATGTGTAGGCCTACATTACAGCCAGCATATGATTGTATTTGTCAGTTCAGAACTAGGCAAAAATTATATCCTCTTTGTGACATTGTGCTAAACAACATGTAACACATGAGACACATCTATTTCAACCATTATGGTAGTGTGTGAAATAAGGTCCATCCAACTGCCCGAGATGGGCTAGATTTCTGATGGACAGTCTAAATTTACAGCTAGCCAGACCAATTGTTTGGTACAAATTTTAGATAACATGTTCCATACATCTGAGTAAAAATTGAGTTATTTTCTTTGGATTGTCTGGTCTGGTTAAATCCATTTTGGTAACTTCAAAATGTTACCAGCCCTGATGTCAGGCTGGGTTTTTGGCTTATTTCATACACTGATTATGGATGTATAACCAGATCACTGGAACACACATTTTACACATCCCTCTGTAGTTACATTCAAATCATGCTGACACTGTTATCTCTTGTTTAATAAAATTGATGTACCAAGTACGTATTACACAAAGTTAGAAACTATTCTGGGTCAGATGTGTTCTGAGAAGACCTTGGTGCTCAGGGTTTGTGACATGATATATTGTTTAATGACAATAACCCAGTTATACTATACTACAAGGTGCTCATGTGCACAATTTTGTCTGGCTTCACCAGCATTCCTTCTAATGTTTGAGCAAAGAGAAAAATTCACTCAGTTTCAGTGTATGCATGGTCAGATAGGTTTACATAATTTTTTGTCTAAATACACGGAAACTGAAACACCGTGACGTAACTGACATGTTGTTCAAAGTGGCATTAAACCCAACGAGCTCATTATACAGGTAGAGGATACAAATGTCCCTGTGGTCAAAGGTACACAATTCACACTGCTTGGGGATCATAAACCGTTCATAGTTGAAGAAGACTAATGTCATGATAAAGTTGTCTAATTTTGTTTTCCCATCTCAGTTCAGTCTTCTTCTTTTCAAGGAAAACCAAGGAAGTGGCACTAGCGATGGCCAGTTTAGAAGAGAGCGGTACTTCACCTGTCCCCCAGATTCTGCGGTCTTCTGTCCCATACATCGTATTCATAGACAAACTGTGGGTGGCAGTCGAGTTCCCCGACGGATGGAGAAGGACCTGTACGCTGCTGCCTCCCACATTCCCAGCCAGGACTACCCCAACTGTGGCCTGCGTCTCGGGGACAGGGTGGTGTGGATGAGTGACCGGGGCCCAGAGTGTGGCACAGTCAAGTGGATAGGAGTGCTGCCAGAGGATCGCAATGCAGAACTTACTGTTGGAGTGGAATTTGTAAGTTGTTTTCAAGCAAGCTGCAGATCCAAGCTAATTCTAAATGCTTGTCATTAACCGACGCAGACCCTGGTAAAGAGTGACAGTCATCATATTTGTCAACAACAACCTCTGCATGATGCTTGTTTCAAATGCTAACAAAGCTTCAAATGCTAACAGTACACCAACATTACTGTAAAACTAAAAGACGGCGTCAATTTGCAATCGACAGGTAGTTGATTCTTTGGAATGGACTTGAATCCGCCCATACCATTTATCAGATACTCTAGTGCCTCTCATAGTTATGTTGAACTTTTTGTTTTCTAAACCCTAAACATTAACAGTTCACAATATTTGAGCATGAAAAAAGTGGAACAACTGCATGAATAATACAAATATGAAAATATTATCTATATCTGAATGAAGTAATTCTGCATGTTCATTGCAACCTTCAGTTACACATTATTGAACACTCCCTATCATACAAGCATTATCTCCAGGGTATACGTTCCGATAAATCTCCACTATACCCTGGATGCATCTACGGCTTGAGCCGATGATTTTATTACCTCCCTTGGTTGGCATTTTATCCAATCAGGTGTCTACGCTGGGAAGTTGAGCATATCAATAACAACTCACTTTCGCTTTTTAAATTATCTAACCGATTAAACTTTGCAACACTTGCAATATATTGTTGCAGGGGTACTCTGAAAAAGGTAGAAAGAGTTCTTGCATATTTTTTTTTTAAGATTTCAAACCTGTCAATTTGTCTGTATGTGCTTCTCTCAGTCTGTTCACCACTTAATTATGGCTACTTTGTTTCAGGACAACCCCGTGGGGTCAGGCACAGGAAAATATAAAGAGCACCGACTATTTTATGCACGACAAAATCATGCATCACTTGTCCCTATACTGGGCTTGTTAAAAGAAGAAGAATTCTTCAGCCCAGGTAATCAGTTCTTCTATTTCAGATTTATTAGTGCTGTTTTCTAATGCTGATAGTCTGAAAAAAACATTCATTTCACAAATGATTTTGAATGTGGCAGTCAATATTTCCTTGTATAGATTAAGCAAAGTTTTTTGACATGAGTGTACATATTTTGCAACTGTGTATCCGGGTCAGCTGCCTTTGATGCAGTAGTCAGTTCGGCTAGCCAAACTGACTGTGCTCCTTCTGCTGTCACAGTATTATAATATTGGAGTAATTGTATTCCACTTACAGTATCTGTCATGAGATTGTCTACTCTGTTATACCCAAAGAAGTTAAAAAATAGTACATGTACTTTTGTATTACTCTCATAATCTCTGCAGCTGATGGTACAGTTATGGTGGGGACATCTGCTCCCGTTGTACTTATTTTTAGTTTTCACTCATAAAAGAAAAAGTTGAACCAAGGTTTAATCATTAGCCACAAGTCATTGCAAGAACCTTTCTGGATTAGCTCCAAACATGTTATTCCTGATGTGTTCTTAAGTTGCTGCTTTATTCATTGTCAAAGTTTCTATGATAATAGAATATAATCCGAGTCCTCACCATATGTCCTTCAGTCGTCACCATACTGTGGATTTTCTGGGTTACTAAGTGTTTCTGACATGTGCCTTAAGAGCTGTCTCTTCCACTGTCCAACTCTGCTGCACACCTCTACTGTTGCATATGAAGGGGTATCCTTCCCTGTGGTGGAACTCTTACCTTCATGGATATGTAATGGTGTTAAGTCCTTTCAGCAAGAGCTTAACATTCCTCAAGTTTCTCCTGTTTCCAAAGTTCACAAACTTGTTTATTATACTGACAGTTTGCTGAATTCTCTCTTTTTGTCGCAGTATACCTCATGTAACATCCAGTTTTTCAATCCTTCAGTTGTTAATATCCTGGTTCAATTCCCCACATGGATAAAATATGCGAAATCCATATCTGCTGGTCCGTGCAGCCATGCTCATGCTGGAATATTGATGAAAATACCTTAAAAGCAAACTCACCCACAACTTAATATCTAAAAAAAGCAAGATTTATGGATGTCAACTTCTTTATTGTGAATAACACGGCATTTCAGAGTGTATGCTTGCTCCTTCATCACCAGATAATGTATTCACAATAACGTTTTGGAGTGTATGCTCGCTCCTTCATCACCTGATAACGTATTCACAATAACGTTTCAGAGTGTATGCTTGCTCCTTCATCACCTGATAAAGTATTCACAATAACGTTTCAGAGCGTATGCTCGCTCCTTCATCACCTGATAACGTATTCACAATAACGTTTCAGAGTGTATGCTCGCTCCTTCATCACCTGATAACGTATTCACAATAACATTTTGGAGTGTATGCTCGCTCCTTCATCACCTGATAACGTATTCACAATAACATTTCAGAGTGTATGCTCGCTCCTTCATCACCTGATAACGTATTCACAATAACTTTTTGAGTGTATGCTCGCTCCTTCATCACCTGATAATGTATTCACAATAACATGTCAGAGTGTATGCTCGCTCCTTCATAACCTGATAATGTATTCACAATAACGTGTCAGAGCGTATGCTCGCTCCTTCATCACCTGATAATGTATTCACAATAACATGTCAGAGTGTATGCTTGCTCCTTCATCACCTGATAACGTATTCACAATAACGTTTTGGAGTGTATGCTCGCTCCTTCATCACCTGATAACGTATTCACAATAACGTTTCAGAGTGTATGCTGTATCACTCCTTCATCACCTGATAGCGTATTCACAATAACACAAGAACGTTTTGGAGTGTATGCTTGCTCCTTCATCACCTGATAACGTATTCACAAGAACGTTTTGGGTGTATGCTTGCTCCTTCATCACCTGATAGCGTATTCACAATAACGCGTTTTGGAGTGTATGCTCACCTGATAACTCCTTCATCACCTGATAACGTATTCACAAGAACGTATTGGAGTGTATGCTCGCTCCTTCATCACCTGATAACGTATTCACAATAATGTTTTGGAGTGTATGCTTGCTCCTTCATCACCTGATAACGTATTCACAATAACGTTTTGGAGTGTATGCTTGCTCCTTCATCCTCTGATAACGTATTCACAATAACGTTTTGGAGTGTATGCTTGCTCCTTCATCACCTGATAACGTATTCACAAGAACGTTTTGGAGTGTATGCTCGCTCCTTCATCACCTGATAACGTATTCACAAGAACGTTTTGGAGTGTATGCTTGCTCCTTCTTCACCTGATAACGTATTCACAATATTGTTTTGGAGTGTATGCTTGCTCCTTCATCACCTGATAACGTATTTACAATAATGTTTTGGAGTGTATCACCTGATAAAGGTGATGAAGGAGCAAGCATACACTCCGAAATGTCGTGTTATTCACATTAAAGAAGGTGACATCCATAAATCATCCTTTTCTTATGCATTCCACTTCTAATTGCCCTTCACAGAACTTAATATCTGTTTAACATCTCCAATATTATCCATGAAAATACATTTTATTTACAAAAATAGGACTTTTCTATGTATTGTGTATGCTTTCTGTTTGTAATCAGGTTTCACTCAAGGGGATTACGGTGATGAGCGTATTAATGTTGTACACCTGGATCCCCCACATGCTGGTTCGTCAAGACAAAAACTACATGACTATAGCACAGATAACGATCAGGACATCTCCTTGAGTAAACGTGAATTTGATGATGTCCTCAAACATGGGAAGAAAACCACAGAGGAATTTAAAGATAATGTGAAGGGAAATAACTTGGACTTGGTCATGTTGGACAAGCCCCATGACATGAAGGTGTATGGACTAGCAGGGGAGCCGGTGTCAGGCAAGAACCCGCTGTATAACTCTAAAGGTATGCATTGGAATGGTCTTGACACGTGGAATCTATCAGTCCTCTGTTGATCACAATCAGGCTATTGCCTGAAGTGGGGAAACCACAACAGGCAGAGGAGAATTAGTCAGCCATGTACATTCACATGGTTTTAATCTGTGTACTTGTAATAACACGTCATGTTATGTCACATCACATGATATTTCCAGTCAGAGCTATCTTTGCTACAGACACAGTCAGGGCTCCAGATTACTTCATTATTCATTGAGTATTTACCCACGGTTTTTGCATTGGGGTAGATTCGGGTTAAAATTTGTCTTCAGCAACCCAAGCTTGTCGTAAGAGGTGGCTAATGGGATCGGGCGGTTAGGATTGCTGACTTGGTTGACTCATGTCATCGTATCCTAATTTCATAGATTGATGCTCATGCTGTTGAACACTGGACTGACTGGTCCAGACTCAATTATTTACAGAAAATAGCACATACTGGGGGTTAGTTACAAAAGGTAGCACAGGCTGGGGGCTGGGGGTTAGATACAGAAGGTAGCACAGGCTGGGGTTAGATACAGAAGGTACACAGAAGGAGGCACAGGCTGGGGGTTAGATACAGAAAGTAGCACAGGCTGGGGGTTACATACAGCAAATAGCACAGGCTGGGGGTTAGATACAGAAGGTAGCACAGGCTGGGGGTTAGATACAGAATATAGCACATACTGGGGGTAAGTTACAGAAGGTAGCACAGGCTGGGGGTAGATACAGAAGGTAGCACAGGCTGGGGGTTAGATACATAAGGTAGCACAGGCTGGGGGTTAGATGCAGAAGGTAGCACAGGCTGGAGGTTAGATACAGATGGTAGCACAGGTTGGGGGTTAGATACAGAAGGTAGCACAGGGTCGGGGTTAGATACAGAAGGTAGCACAGGCTGGCGGTTAGATACAGAAGGTAGCACAGGCTAGGGGTTAGATACAGAAGATAGCACAGGCTGGGGGTTAGATACAGAAGGTAGCACAGGGTAGGGGTTAGATAAAGAAGATAGCACATACTGGGGATTGGATACAGAAGATAGCACAGGTAGGGGGTTAGATACAAAAATAGCACATACTGGGGATTGGATACAGAAGATAGCACAGGCTAGGGGTAAGATACAGAAGGTAGCACAGGCTGGGGGGTAGATACAGAAGGTAGCGCAGTGTAGGGGTTAGATACAGAAGATAGCACATACTGGAGGTTAGATACAGAAGGTAGCACAGGGTAGGGGTTAGATGCAGAAGGTAGCACAGGCTGGGGGTTAGATACAAAAGATAGCACAGACTGGGGGTTAGATACAGAAGATAGTACAGGCTGGGAGCTAGATACAGATGGTAGCACATACCAGGGGTTAGTTACAGAAGATAGCACATATGGGGGGTTAGATACAGAAGGTAGCACAGGCTAGGGGTTAGATACAGAAGATAGCACAGGCTGGGGGTTAGATACAGAAGGTAGCACAGGGTAGGGGTTAGATAAAGAAGATAGCACATACTGGGGATTGGATACAGAAGATAGCACAGGTAGGGGGTTAGATACAAAAATAGCACATACTGGGGATTGGATACAGAAGATAGCACAGGCTAGGGGTAAGATACAGAAGGTAGCACAGGCTGGGGGGTAGATACAGAAGGTAGCGCAGTGTAGGGGTTAGATACAGAAGATAGCACATACTGGGGGTTAGATACAGAAGGTAGCACAGGGTAGGGGTTAGATGCAGAAGGTAGCACAGGCTGGGGGTTAGATACAAAAGATAGCACAGACTGGGGGTTAGATACAGAAGATAGTACAGGCTGGGAGCTAGATACAGATGGTAGCACATACCAGGGGTTAGTTACAGAAGATAGCACATATGGGGGGTTAGTTACAGAAGATAGTACAGGCTGGGGGTTAGATACAGAAGGTAGCACATACCGGGGCTTAATTACAGAAGTTAGCACATACGGGGGGTTAGTTACAGAAGATAGTACAGGCTGGGGGTTAGATACAGAATATAGTACAGGCTGGGGGTTAGTTACAGAATATAGTACAGGCTGGGGGTTAGTTACAGAAGATAGTACAGGCTGGGGGTTAGATACAGAATATAGTACAGGGTAGGGGTTAGTTACAGAAGATAGTACAGGCTGGGGGTTAGTTACAGAAGATAGTACAGGCTGGGGGTTAGATACAGAATATAGTACAGGCTGGGGGTTAGATACAGAAGATAGTACAGGCTGGGGGTTAGTTACAGAAGATAGTACAGGCTGGGGGTTAGATACAGAAGATAGTTCAGGCTGGGGGTGAGATACAGAAGATAGTACAGGCTGGGGGTTAGTTACAGAAGGGGCATAGAAAGTAGCAATGCTTATTTTGTTTGAAGGTAGCGGTGGTTCATTGGTGTGCTTTAAAGGAAACAATGACTGGTGGGTGTGTTTTGAAGGTAGCAATGATTGATGGATGTGTTTTGAAGGTAGCAGGGATTGATGGGTGTGTTTAGAAGGTAACAATGATTGATGGGTGTGTTTTGAAGGTAGCAATGATTGATGGGTGTGTTTTGAAGGTAGCAGGGATTGATGGGTGTGTTTTAAAGGTAGCAATGATTGATGGGTGTGTTTTGAAGGTAGCAATGGTTGATGGGTGTGTTTTGAAGGTAGCAGTGATCAATGGGTTTGTTGTGAAAGGGTACAAGGGATTGATGGGTGTGTTTAGAAGGTAGCAGGGATTGATGGGTGTGTTTAGAAGGTAGCAATGATTGATGGGTGTGTTTTGAAGGTAGCAGGGATTGATGGGTGTGTTTTGAAGGTAGCAATGATTGATGGGTGTGTTTTGAAGGTAGCAATGGTTGATGGGTGTGTTTTGAAGGTAGCAGTGATCAATGGGTTTGTTGTGAAAGGGTACAAGGGATTGATGGGTGTGTTTAGAAGGTAGCAATGATTGATGGGTGTGTTTTGAAGGTAGCAATGATTGATGGGTGTGTTTTGAAGGTAGCAGGGATTGATGGGTGTGTTTTGAAGGTAGCAGGGATTGATGGGTGTGTTTTGAAGGTAGCAATGATTGATGGGTGTGTTTTGAAGGTAGCAGGGATTGATGGGTGTGTTTAGAAGGTAACAATGATTGATGGGTGTGTTTTGAAGGTAGCAATGATTGATGGGTGTGTTTTGAAGGTAGCAGGGATTGATGGGTGTGTTTTAAAGGTAGCAATGATTGATGGGCGTGTTTTGAAGGTAGCAATGGTTGATGGGTTTGTTTTGAAGGTAGCAGTGATCAATGGGTTTGTTGTGAAAGGGTACAAGGGATTGATGGGTGTGTTTAGAAGGTAGCAGGGATTGATGGGTGTGTTTTGAAGGTAGCAATGATTGATGGGTGTGTTTTGAAGGTAGCAATGGTTGATGGGTGTGTTTTGAAGGTAGCAATGATTGATGGGTGTGTTTTGTAGGTAGCAATGATTGATGGGTTTGTTTTGAAGGTAGCAGGGATTGAAGGGTGTGTTTTGAATGTAGCAATGATTGATGGGTGTGTTTTGAAGGTAGCAATGATTGATGGGTGTGTTTTGAAGGTAGCAATGATTGATGGGTGTGTTTTGAAGGTAGCAATGATTGATGGGTGTGTTTTGAAGGTAGAAATGATTGATGGGTGTGTTTTGAAGGTAGCAGTGATCAATGGGTTTGTTGTGAAAGGGTACAAGGGATTGATGGGTGTGTTTAGAAGGTATCAGGGATTGATGGGTGTGTTTAGAAGGTAGCAATGATTGATGGGTGTGTTTTGAAGGTATCAGGGATTGATGGGTGTGTTTTGAAGGTAGCAATGATTGATGGGTGTGTTTTGAAGGTAGCAGGGATTGATGGGTGTGTTTAGAAGGTAGCAATGATTGATGGGTTTGTTGTGAAAGGGTATAAAGGATTAAAGGGTGTGTATAGAAGGTAGCAATGACTGGTGGGTGTGTTTTGAAGGTAGCAGTGATCAATGGGTGTGTTTCAAGGTAGAAGGCATTGAAGGGTGTGTTTTGAAGGTAACAGTGATCGATGGGTGTGTATAGAAGGTAGTAGTGTTTGATGTGTGATTTACAGGATAATTTCATAAAGCAACAAAATAGAAAAGGGTATAATACAAAAGCCCTGTGTTCCTTATTTCCTGGGGAAAGAAGGTAAACATTCTGTTAAGTTAAACAGACGATACTTAGGTAGTTGTTATGGCCATTGTGCATTTTATCTTTCAAGTTTTTAGTTTTGACTGGAGAGTCATGTAAGGTTTAAATAAACACTTCCATTGCAACCTAAGCTGTGTAACATGTGAATCAGCATACAAGGAATAGCTGAGTACATTTCCCAGAGAAAGAAATATAAATCCTTGTGCACATGAAAGAAGTATCTTATGTAATTAAAAATCTTGTATGTTGAACTCAAGTGAATTCTTTTCATAAGCGTTCATAATAGAATATCATCGCTAGAGCACTGCATGAATAAAGTGTCAAGACAGGATTATTGTCAGCAGTCAAAGGAAATTCACTTCCTCATTCCCCAAGGTCTCCGTTTATTAGCCATGTTATCATGGCCTTAGTCACCTGCATATTACAGGCTGTCATTTAGATATCTAACTTATCTCCTTTACACTGACAAGAAAGAAACTTTTAACTATTCTATCTTGTGCTTTGATGAATTTGCCACATATAATATTAGATATTGTCATAGCTTTGAACATTTAATTTGGATTAGGTATTAGAAGTTTGTAGTTGAAGGAGAACAAACAATATAGCCATGATATATGCTAGAGCTGTAATACAAATGCATTGTATTCATTCAGAAATATTGTTATCAAATCACGAATAGTTTTCATCTGATGCCAATTTAACATGAAACTTTGGCACTGCTTCCAGGACATGCAACTAATCCATATAATGCCTAACAAAAACAAAGATTTCCCCATTTTTCCCAAATGAAGGTTCTGTGAACAAAGCCATAACATTTATATACAAAATTGTCAGCTTTCATAATTGCCAAAAATATAACTCTGAAATTTGGACACCAGTTCAAATCATGCTTGTCAGGGTAAAAAACTGAACAGTTATGGGAATTTATTTGAGGTTGGTGTAGACAATGGCCTTTTGTGGTGGTCTTTCCCGGTTGTAATTTTCTATATTTAGTCACAAGTAACGTCCTGGGGAATTCCCCTCTACAGGTTTATTAGAGTTACCTCCCTTCACCTATTGGGTTATCAGGAAGAAATACAGATAGGCACAGTCCCATAAACTAAATTTAATTCTTATACTAACAAGGAAATGTTTGATTTTAACAATCGGGAAGCAAATTCATGGCATGTGATATCATTTTAGCTTCAAAGCGATGTGTAGCTTACTATGGGTTGGTACTTGTTCTGTGTTTTTTCTTGTTATGGAATCATACTTACTGTTGTATGATATCTGTTAGTGCATGGTGAAAATCATGTCTGCATGACCAATGTTGTTTTGACTAAACTGATGCAATGCTGGTCAGCTGTCATACCTGCGCCGTGTACTGAACCCAGTGAAATGATTGTTGTATGCTGGTATTGATGTTGTAAAGTTGGTGGATAACACTGAATATCACATACCATTGTCTTGTTACCATGGTGACAGTTTTCTTTGTCTCTCTCATTTGTCATGTTTAATGCTATTGCTACTTGTATGTTAGCATTTCTGATTATGTAGTAGTTTATTTCCATAATGCATGTGTGGCCATAGGCCCAAATACATAATACAACAATAATAATATGGGTGATATTATAAACAATCATTTTCGCTTCTTAAAAGCAACATGAATGAATGCCATTAATTTTGTAAGCACAGAGTGTGAAGTTGTTGACATAAGTTTTGAGAACATGTGTACTGATGGGTTCCTGATCACATAACTTGGTAGAATAGCCTTTCTGATGGTGTCAAGGGAAGGGCATATCAAAGTAAAATGATAAAGATCTTCGATTTCATATCGATCACAGTGTGGACAGATACGTTGCTCACGGGCATATTTGATATCCGCCTCTGTCAATCTGTAGACTTGTATGTCCAACTCTTGCAAGAGCAAACTGGCGCAAAAAGTTCGTAGTGAAGAGTCTAGTAAGTATTCTTCAGCATCAAGAGTTGTCTTGTATGTTGAGTATGTATCATATCTTGAGCTGCTGGTTAAAACGTCATGCCACTGTTGAGAACTGATATCTTTTAAACGCTGTTTAAAGTCCTTAACAAAATATTCCGTAACACCAACATCTTGTGAAGCCCAAGCATATCCCATTCCAACATTTTGTAGTAGGGTTCTAACATCGAACACCATGTATGTCGACCTACATTGTCCAGATTATACAACATGCCATATGCCTTGCATCGTAGTCGATGAGACGGGAGATGAAGGAGTCTGATCCAGTATTTGATGCATCTGGCGGCACTATCCACATACAGAGGATGACGCCCACACTCTCCAAGGGCCATAGCATTTGGTGTGTTTGTACCGGTTCAATGTAGCGTTTACAAGCAAGATATTGAACTCTCTCAATTGCCTCGACTCGTGTGTGTCCCCATATTTAACTTCCGTGATAACAGGATGGGCTTTATTTTGTGTCGAATATTTTGAAATAGGTCTTGAATGGTAACTTTCCATATGCCCACATTGTAATGTAAGATGTTCACTAAGGAACGCTTGCCGTTAGTTGCAAGGTGAAGGGCGGATTAGGCGCAGAGACAGGGATGGTGTTAGCATGATCCCGAGATATTTGTAGCTTGACACAGGCTCGATCTCTTTGCCGTTGTAAAACCATTTTTCACAACGTCTAAGGATTCCCTCTCTTCTAAAGACGACAACTTTTGTCTTCTGTAGGTTAACTGACAGGCCCCATGTGTCACAGAATGTAGACAGGATGTTGAGCTGTTGCTGGAGACCGTTGACCTTGTCAGACATTAGGATTACGTCGCCAGCAAACAGCTGTAGAAATAGTTCAGTATAGATCTGGGTGTAGCTGTACTCCGCCTTTGCACTCCTGTAATATCATATCAGCGAGTCCATTTATGAACAGAGAGAAAAGGACCGACTAAGAACACATCCTTGTTTGAGACCAACTGGACAATCAAAGACTTATGGTAATGATCCTCCACTACATCTAACAGAAGCTGACACTCGTGAATACATAGATTCAATAATGCGCAGCAATTTCCCACTCAGGTTGATGTTTCAAGCACGCCCATCAGTTTTGTTCTATTGATAGAATCAAATGCCTTCCTAAAGTCAATTAGAGCAACATATGTTTAATCTTTCTTTTACTGAGATATTTCTGTACGCAGGCAGTTAGTGTGAAGATGTTGTCCGTGAGTAGAGTAGCCCTGACGAAATCCTGCTTGTTCTTCACTTATCTTGTGATTAATTTCAGTCCACGCCGATAGGCTTTGTTAAGGATAGATGTGAAAACCTTTCCAAACACACTGTTTAAGGTAATTCCCGGTAGTTATTCGGGTCTTTGAAACAGCGGCTTTTATGTATAGGAACAATAATGCCACTTCCCCAGCCGTTGGGGAAAACACCTATATCAAGGATTTTGTTGAAGAGTTTTTCTAAGTAAGGCAATATATACTTGAGTGATGATTTTAGTAATTCTGGTATTATATAATCTGGACCAGATGACTTTCCACTCTTTAATTTATTCACAGATTCCATGATTTCTTTAGCTGTAATGGGGACATCAACAGTATCAACATGGTTACTGTCTATATCATGAATCCCCGCAGTAGTCCTTTCCTGGGTATCACCTGCTGAGAAAAGTTCTTTAAAATGGTCAAACCATTCCTGAGGTGGAATGGGGTAATCTTGTCTCACAGTACCATTCATTTTCTTGACCTGCTTCCAAAAAGCTTTATTATTCATAACACAGACTTTGTCTCATGCAAAGATATACTAACTGAAGGCTGCTTATCAGGTACGAGGAAACTTTGACGTAAGACGTCACCAGAGGCAGGGCAAGTTTTTATACTTGAAACTAAATTTACAATAAAATCTATGCTCCCACATGCTTTATCAACAATGTTTGTTTAAAACATTATTATACAAACAGGTTTCCACTCATTATCTGTTTTGAGGCATTGGGGTGACCTCGTGGTTGAAGCATTTGCTCATTCCCACATTGGTACAATGTGTGAAGCACATTTCTTGTGTCACCCAACGTGATATTGCTGGGATATTGCTAAAAGTGGTTCAAAACTAAACCCACTCACTCACTCTTATTCATTCCATGTTTGGCATATTACAACATGTTTTAACTACCATGTGATTACCTCCAATGCATATTGTATTTTGAAAAACACGTTCGTTGAATGGTAATATTTCAAGAATAAGCAGGCCAAATGGGACATGTTATAAACAATTGAATGCAAAAGTAGGAATGCGTGTACTTATATGGTTACCCATAAGTCCCATAGACTTTTAAAAAAACTGTTACAAATAGACCACGACATTATACCGCCATAAAGTTAACATCGTGAAAAGACATCTTTATCTGCATGAAGAGAAATCAAAGCCTATCATATATCAGATCTTAATGGTATGGAACACACACGATCAACTTGTATAAATTGTGCTGTCTGCCAGAATTTGCAGTCATGGCAAACTTCAATCATGAATGAGTCCAGGCAAGTTAATTCTCAAGTTGTATCTATGTTTTTTATTTTGTCAAAGAAGTAATAGAAATGCTGTTTGTATCAAGTTTTTAACATTTTATGAAGGAGGTTTACCTCGAGTTTACCATGACAATAATTTTGTATCCATATTAGCCAAGAAATCTTGCCTAAATAAAACATTATGCTGTTCTTTATCCTTGTTGTACTGTTCATGTGCAATTGTTGACTATGAATTAATACAAATGTGTTTCTTTTGATTACAGAACACGTAGTAGAGGTTAACCAGTACGATAAATACCATGATACATCGGTTGGTAATAGTTCCAAGAGTTCCGATAAGATGGCGCCGACGCCTGACCCAGACCTGGGAGTGGACTCTGTAGTGGAGGTGTTGGGCAACCCACCTCTATATGGCGTCATCCGGTGGATTGGTTCACTCCCAGACAACCCCTGGAAAAAGATTGCGGGGCTGGAGATGGTATGTTGGTTACAGATGTACTCGACTCTTAATGTGTATACCATACTACTGTATGTGGAGAGGCTCCAGAACGGGCTTCAACATCCACTTTAATGGGAAAGTTTTCATGACAGATTATGCTTGTATTCTGTGAAGGTCTACCAGTACATACATACTAAATATTCAAGATAGAGACACAGTGAAAGACTTTTCTGGAACTTGGCATCTAGGTGGAATGTGGGAACTGGAGAGTGTGTGGGAAAGTAGGGTTTCAGCGACAGGATGCAGACAGCATCCCTGTTTGTGGACATTGTCAAGAGATTTGTAAAGTGTGGCAGGACATGGGACTATATCGTGAACAGGGGAGTCACTGCTGTAATGTGTAAACATTTACATTCGCGGAAATAATACCAAAGTCTGATATGGTGCGATAGATAAGAAAAACAAAAACAGCAGAAAACCTGCACAAACAAGGGTTAGATCACATACCTGCTGCTACAACACTGGCCATACACAAACAAGGGTTAGATCACATAGCCTGCTGCTAGAACACTGGCCATACACAAACAAGGGTTAGATCACATAGCCTGCTGCAAGAACACTGGCCATACACAAACAAGGCTTAGATCACATAGTTTGCTGCTAGAACATTGGCCGTACACAAACAAGGGGTAGATCACATAGCCTGCTGCTAGAACATTGGCCATACACAAACAAGGGTTAGATCACATAGCCTGCTGCTAGAACAGTGGTCATACACAAATAAGGGTTAGATCACATAGCCTGCTGCTAGAACAGTGGCTGTACACAAACAAGGGGTAGATCACATAGCCTGCTGCTAGAACAGTGGCTGTACACAAACAAGGGTTAGATCACATAGCCTGCTGCTAGAACAGTGGCCATACACAAACAAGGGTTAGATCACATAGCCTGCTGCTAGAACAGTGGCCATACACAAACAAGGGTAGATCACATAGCCTGCTGCTAGAACAGTGGCCATACACAAACAAGGGGTAGATCACATAGCCTGCTGCTAGAACAGTGGCTGTACACAAATAAGGGTAGATCACATAGCCTGCTGCTAGAACAGTGGCTGTACACAAACAAGGGGTAGATCACATAGCCTGCTGCTAGAACAGTGGCCATACACAAACAAGGGGTAGATCACATAGCCTGCTGCTAGAACAGTGGCTGTACACAAACAAGGAGTAGATCACATAGCCTGCTGCTAGAACAGTGGCTGTACACAAACAAGGGGTAGATCACATAGCCTGCTGCTAGAACAGTGGCTGTACACAAACAAGGGTAGATCACATAGCCTGCTGCTAGAACAGTGGCTGTACACAAACAAGGGTAGATCACATAGCCTGCTGCTAGAACAGTGGCCATACACAAACAAGGGGTAGATCACATAGCCTGCTGCTAGAACATTGGCATACACAAATAAGGGTTAGATCACATAGCCTGCTGCTAGAACAGTGGCCATACACAAACAAGGGTTAGATCACATAGCCTGCTGCAAGAACACTGGCCATACACAAACAAGGCTTAGATCACATAGTTTGCTGCTAGAACATTGGCCGTACACAAACAAGGGTAGATCACATAGCCTGCTGCTAGAACATTGGCCATACACAAACAAGGGTTAGATCACATAGCCTGCTGCTGCCAGAACAGTGGTCATACACAAATAAGGGTTAGATCACATAGCCTGCTGCTAGAACAGTGGCCATACACAAACAAGGGTTAGATCACATAGCCTGCTGCTAGAACAGTGGCCATACACAAACAAGGGTTAGATCACATAGCCTGCTGCTAGAACAGTGGCCATACACAAACAAGGGTAGATCACATAGCCTGCTGCTAGAACAGTGGCTGTACACAAACAAGGGTTAGATCACATAGCCTGCTGCTAGAACAGTGGCCATACACAAACAAGGGTTAGATCACATAGCCTGCTGCTAGAACAGTGGCTGTACACAAACAAGGGTAGATCACATAGCCTGCTGCTAGAACAGTGGCTGTACACAAACAAGGGGTAGATCACATAGCCTGCTGCTAGAACAGTGGCCATACACAAACAAGGGGTAGATCACATAGCCTGCTGCTAGAACAGTGGCTGTACACAAACAAGGGGTAGATCACATAGCCTGCTGCTAGAACAGTGGCTGTACACAAACAAGGGTAGATCACATAGCCTGCTGCTAGAACAGTGGCTGTACACAAACAAGGGGTAGATCACATAGCCTGCTGCTAGAACAGTGGCTGTACACAAACAAGGGGTAGATCACATAGCCTGCTGCTAGAACAGTGGCTGTACACAAACAAGGGGTAGATCACATAGCCTGCTGCTAGAACATTGGCCGTACACAAATAAGGGTTAGATCACATAGCCTGCTGCTAGAACAGTGGCCATACACAAATAAGGGGTAGATCACATAGCCTGCTGCTAGAACAGTGGCCATACACAAATAAGGGTTAGATCACATAGCCTGCTGCTAGAACAGTGGCCATACACAAACAAGGGTTAGATCACATAGCCTGCTGCTAGAACAGTGGCTGTACACAAACAAGGGGTAGATCACATAGCCTGCTGCTAGAACAGTGGCTGTACACAAACAAGGGGTAGATCACATAGCCTGCTGCTAGAACATTGGCCGTACACAAACAAGGGGTAGATCACATAGCCTGCTGCTAGAACACTGACCGTACATGAACAAGGGGTAGATCACATAGCCTGCTGCTAGAACATTGGCCATACACAAACAAGGGTAGATCACATAGCCTGCTGCTAGAACATTGGCCATACACAAACAAGGGTAGATCACATAGCCTGCTGCTAGAACAGTGGCCATACACAAACAAGGGGTAGATCACATAGCCTGCTGCTAAAACAGTGGCCATACACAAACAAGGGTTAGATCACATAGCCTGCTGCTAGAACACTGACCGTACATGAACAAGGGGTAGATCACATAGCCTGCTGCTAGAACATTGGCCATACACAAACAAGGGGTAGATCACATAGCCTGCTGCTAGAACAGGCCATACACAAACAAGGGTAGATCACATAGCCTGCCATATACACAAACAAGGGTTAGATCACATAGCCTGCTGCTAAAACAGTGGCCATACACAAACAAGGGTAGATCACATAGCCTGCTGCTAGAACAGTGGCTGTACACAAACAAGGGGTAGATCACATAGCCTGCTGCTAGAACAGTGGCCATACACAAACAAGGGTTAGATCACATAGCCTGCTGCTAGAACAGTGGCTGTACACAAACAAGGGTAGATCACATAGCCTGCTGCTAAAACAGTGGCCATTACACAAACAAGGGTAGATCACATAGCCTGCTGCTAGAACAGTGGCCATACACAAACAAGGGGGTAGATCACATAGCCTGCTGCTAGAACAGTGGCCATACACAAACAAGGGGTAGATCACATAGCCTGCTGCTAGAACAGTGGCTGTACACAAACAAGGGTTAGATCACATAGCCTGCTGCTAGAAAATTGGCCATACACAAACAAGGGGCAGATCACATAGCCTGCTGCTAGAACATTGGCCATACACAAACAAGGGTTAGATCACATAGCCTGCTGCTAGAACAGTGGCTGTACACAAACAAGGGGTAGATCACATAGCCTGCTGCTAGAACAGTGGCCATACACAAACAAGGGTTAGATCACATAGCCTGCTGCTAGAAAATTGGCCATACACAAACAAGGGGCAGATCACATAGCCTGCTGCTAGAACATTGGCCATACACAAACAAGGGTTAGATCACATAGCCTGCTGCTAGAACAGTGGCTGTACACAAACAAGGGGTAGATCACATAGCCTGGTGCTAGAACATTGGCCATACACAAACAAGGGTTAGATCACATAGCCTGCTGCTAGAACAGTGGACAAGCACAATCATGTTTGATACTTGCTACTTCTAAATGCTTTTTGGACCGTTAAGGTTAAGATGCCACATTGATCCGTTGCTGGAAACAGTGGCATACGATATGGACTGTTGTTTCTGACAAACACTGCCCCATAAGCTGATGAGTACAATATATTCGGTTCAGTGAGGGTTCTCTGTAGAGTTGATATTTCTCTGCATTTATTATTTATCTCTCTTGAAATGAAAATGGTTAATATAGAAAATAGCAAACTCAAAGTTTAGAATTTTGGATTATCTTCCTTCATGAAAGAATGGTGCCATTCTTTGGTTATTCTTATTGCTGATATTATGAATTCATCTACACAATTATGGCATGTGATTCTTTGAATGCTTACAGTTACTGCTAAATATGCCTCGAGCTGTAATACATGTGGCTTGTTTGTGGTGATGTGTAGGTACACTGTAGCATTGGTTGTCTTCTAGGCTGTATGGTGACATTTTGTAACTTCACTCCACAGGAGGAGGAGACGTCTGCTGGAACTGATGGGACGTTTAAAGGCCGACGCCTGTTTGATTGTGGACCTAAGAGAGCGTTGTTTGTTCCTTTGTATAAATGTCATAAAGATAAACGGTTCAATGCAGCCAACAGGAGGAGCACAGACAGCACATGTAAGTTACTCCATCATGCAGGTACAAAGACAGGTGACACTAGCAATCATACAGGTAACACTCAGACAAAGACAGGTGACACTAGCAATCATACAGGTAACACTCAGACAAAGACAGGTGACACTAGCAGTCATACAGGTAACACTCAGACAAAGACAGGTGACACTAGCAATCATACAGGTAACACTCAGACAAAGACAGGTGACACTAGCAGTCATACAGGTAACACTCAGACAAAGACAGGTGACACTAGCAGTCATACAGGTAACACTCAGACAAAGACAGGTGACACTAGCAATCATACAGGTAACACTCAGACAAAGACAGGTGACACTAGCAATCATACAGGTAACACTCAGACAAAGACAGGTGACACTAGCAGTCATACAGGTAACACTCAGACAAAGACAGGTGACACTAGCAATCATACAGGTAACACTCAGACAAAGACAGGTAACACTAGCAGTCATACAGGTAACACTCAGACAAAGACACAGGTGACACTAGCAATCATACAGGTAACACTCAGACAAAGACAGGTGACACTAGCAACACTCATACAGGTAACACTCAGACAAAAAGACAGGTGACACTAGCAATCATACAGGTAACACTCAGACAAAGACAGGTGACACTAGCAATCATACAGGTAACACTCAGACAAAGACAGGTGACACTAGCAGTCATACAGGTAACACTCAGACAAAGACAGGTGACACTAGCAATCATACAGGTAACACTCAGACAAAGACAGGTAACACTCAGCAATCAGGTGACACTAGGTAACACTCAAAGACAGGTAACACTAGCAGAGACAGGTGACACTAGCAGTCATACAGGTAACACTCAGACAAAGACAGGTGACACTAGCAATCATACAGGTAACACTCAGACAAAGACAGGTAACACTAGCAAAGTCATACAGGTAACACTCAGACAAAGAGACAAACTAGACAGGTAACACTCAGACACTAGCAATCATACAGGTAACACTCAGACAAAGACAGGTGACACTAGCAATCATACAGGTAACACTCAGACAAAGACAGGTGACACTAGCAATCATACAGGTAACACTCAGACAAAGACAGGTAACACTAGCAGTCATACAGGTTACACTCAGACAAAGACAGGTGACACTAGCAGTCATACAGGTAACACTCAGACAAAGACAGGTAACACTAGCAATCATACAGGTAACACTCAGACAAAGACAGGTGACACTAGCAGTCATACAGGTAACACTCAGACAAAGACAGGTCACACTAGCAGTCATACAGGTAACACTCAGACAAAGACAGGTAACACTAGCAGTCATACAAGTAACACTCAGACAAAGACAGGTAACACTAGCAATCATGCAGATAACACTCAGACAAAGACAGGTGACACTAGCAGTCATGCAGGTAACACTCAGACAAAGACAGGTGACACTAGCAGTCATACAGGTAACACTCAGACAAAGACAGGTAACACTAGCAGTCATGCAGGTAACACTCAGACAAAGACAGGTAACACTAGCAATCATACAGGTAACACTCAGACAAAGACAGGTAAAACCAGCAGTCATGCAGATAACACTCAGACAAAGACAGGTGACACTAGCAGTCATACAGGTAACACTCAGACAAAGACAGGTAACACTAGCAATCATACAGGTAACACTCAGACAAAGACAGGTGACACTAGCAATCATGCAGGTAACACTCAGACAAAGACAGGTAACACTATCAGTCATACAGGTAACACTATCAGTCATACAGGTTACACTCAGACAAAGACAGGTGACACTAGCAATCATGCAGGTAACACTCAGACAAAGACAGGTGACACTAGCAATCATACAGGTAACACTCAGACAAAGACAGGTGACACTAGCAGTCATGCAGGTAACACTCAGACAAAGACAGGTAACACCAGCAGTCATGCAGGTAACACTCAAATAAAGACAGGTGACACTAGCAGTCATACAAGTAACACTCAGACAAAGACAGGTAACACCAGCAGTCATGCAGGTAACACTCAAACAAAGACAGGTAACACTAGCAATCATACAGGTAACACTCAGACAAAGACAGGTAACACCAGCAGTCATGCAGGTAACACTCAAACAAAGACAGGTGACACTAGCAATCATACAGGTAACACTCAGACAAAGACAGGTGACACTAGCAATCATACAGGTAACACTCAGACAAAGACAGGTAACACTAGCAGTCATACAGGTAACACTCAAACAAAGACAGGTGACACTAGCAATCATGCAGGTAACACTCAGACAAAGACAGGTGACACTAGCAATCATACAGGTAACACTCAGACAAAGACAGGTGACACTAGCAATCATACAGGTAACACTCAGACAAAGACAGGTAACACTAGCAATCATACAGGTAACACTCAGACAAAGACAGGTGACACTAGACAGGTGATCATATACAGGTAACACTCAGACAAAGACAGGTGACACTAGCAATCATACAGGTAACACTCAGACAAAGACAGGTGACACTAGCAATCATACAGGTAACACTCAGACAAAGACAGGTAACACTAGCAGTCATGCAGGTAACACTCAGACAAAGACAGGTAACACTAGCAGGTAACACTCATGCAGGTAACACTCAGACAAAGACAAAAGTAACACTAGCAATCATACAGGTCATACAGGTAACACTCAGACAAAGACAGGTGAACACTAGCAATACACAGGTAACACTCAGACAAAGACAGGTAACACTAGCAATCATACAGGTAACACTCAGACAAAGACAGGTGACACACTCAGACAAAGACAGGTGACACTAGCAATCATACAGGTAACACTCAGACAAAGACAGGTAACACTAGCAATCATACAGGTAACACTCAGACAAAGACAGGTGACACTAGCAATCATACAGGTAACACTCAGACAAAGACAGGTGACACTAGCAATCATACAGGTAACACTCAGACACTCAGGTAACACAAAGACACAAAGACAGGTAACACTCCAGCAATCATAACAGCAATCATGCAGGTAACACTCAGACAAAGACACTAGCAATCATGCAGGTAACACTCAGACAAAGACAGGTGACACTAGCAATCATACAGGTAACACTCAGACAAAGACAGGTGACACTAGCAATTATACAGGTAACACTCGCTCATGGATAAGTGACACTAGCACATGTGAGATAAAATATGCAGATTTGAGCACATAAGAAATGATTTGGTATCTAATCCAATTTTGGATAAACTGACATGGAAAAAAGTCCTTTTGTATGATAATTCATTTTTTTATTTTTCAGCATTTGGAATACTGGAGACCCCTGACATAACTGGTGATGTATCACCACCGTCGTCACTAGAGACTGTGAGAAAACTGATTGGTAAAAACAAGGGAATTCAAGGACATCATAACTCGTGCTACTTGGATGCCACCTTATTTGCGATGTTTTCTTTTACTACTGTGTTTGATTCCATATTATATCGACAACAAACACCAGGAGACCTCGAGGCGTACGGTGATGTGCAAAAAGTTCTCAAGGAAGGAATTGTGAACCCACTGAGAAAGTAAGTCTGAGATATGAGTGTAGTAAGTAACAAACAGTAGCAGCAACTGTGTAGACAGGGGTGCTCAAATCAAGGCTTTGATCTTGTTGTAAGAGGCAACGACTGCAGGTGCTCAAATCGAGGCTTTGATCTTGTTGTAAGAGGCAACGACTGCAGGTGCTCAAATCAAGGCTTTGATCTTGTTGTAAGAGGTGACTGACTGCAGGTGCTCAAATCGAGGCTTTGATCAGTGAGGAATGTCTGAACTGTATCTTATTTGTGAGGTGTTTACTGAATTCTTTTGTTGTATGTAGTTTATGACTGGTAAGTGACTGTTGCAGGGAGCATGTGTGACAGAGTTGCATCCCCTAGACATTCCAGAAAACCTTTGATCATGTGTTTGAATTCTAAACTCACCTGAATGGGCATCAAGGTTTGTCAGCACTGATGCTTTCATGGTTTCCACCCATATCCAGCTGTCACAGCATGGCGTAGCTGGACTATGCAGTAAACCTTGATAACTCACTCACTCCTGTTATGTGAGAGCTGACGTGGTGATGGTGTTATTGTATAGATGCTGGTATTGTCTGTTGTAGACTGTATTACGTGAGAGCTGACAAAGTGATGGCATTGAGGAAATTTTTGGATAAACTAGGGAAGATCCCTGGCATGATGGGTGAAGAGAAAGGTGAGAAGAAATAAAGGAACAAATAGATGCAGTTTGTTTTTTTACATCCATGTTATTTGGTTGCCTATTAATATTTTATTCTAGACCAGACAAACCAATGGAGCTACGTTACGAGGAGAGTTGCACACAGTAAGCCAGGTTGCAGGTTGAGACCAGCCAAGTTATTTAGTCTTTTTATGACAGAAAAGTATAATTCTTCTTATCTTGCCTCTCACATAAATGTCGTTTCCTGATTGGCTGAGCGCTCTTCTATTGTTTTTCAATGTACCCTGCTTACAAGCGAGTAACATTTTCTATGTACCCCGCTGGGAATGCCTAACTCAACTGGTAGTTCGTAGTAGTGATTCTTTATCTCAAATAACATTGAATCATGCATAATGTACGGAAATTACTGATGTTTTGCAAATGCAAATCAATGGAAGGGAGATAACTCTAAATTTTTCTTGTCTTGTCGTCTGGTACTCTATACTATGATCCGATACCTGTGCTTCAAACAGTTCAAAATTACCATTGAGGTGTTCGGTAAGATAAATACGTTGTTCACTGGTCCCTCGGGGCCCTTCAGGCTCAGGGAACATAAACAAACATCGAGGGTACATCAGCCCATGTCCCGCTTGTGACCAGTGAACAACTTATATTATGACGTAGAAAATGCAAGAAGCAAATTGCAACAGTGTCCTTAAATATTTGTTTCACACTCAGTAACCAGTATTTCAGCTAGATCACTGGGCCATGTACTCAGTATGCTAGTCTAGGTTAACCCAGTGGTCAATGTTATGAGCACTTCAGGTAATTAAAACATGCAATCAACCAAGCCACTGAGTGTGACCATCAGATATTTCTAGAGGACAAGCTCTTATCAGTCTATCAGGACAGTTGATCCGCATTCTACAAAGAATTTGTCCAACGTGTAAATCCCAATTATTCAAATCACTATAACCACTCCTGACTGAAACTACTGATTTCATGGCCATGTCAAAGCGGATGCCGATATTTATAGACAAGTACTTCTTTTTGTAACCATACATAATGCAATGTCACAACTGTTACATGCAGTATACGCATACCTGCCACTGTGTGTGTATTTCAGATCCTGAAGAGTTTCTGAGCACCTTACTGGGACAAATAATGAGGGCTGATCCACTGCTGCATCTCAGGTGGGGCTTTAGATAGCTATGTAGCTCCTGTGTGAAGGTGTAACGCTGAAATAGTGATGCTAATGTCTGTGTATAGCTGTAGCAATGTAGCTAATGTTTGTGTATAGCTGTGGCAATGTAGCTAATGTTTGTGTATAGCTGTAACAATGTAGCTAATGTTGTATATAGCTGTAGCTAATGTTTGTGTATAGCTATACCAATGTAGCTATTGTTTGTGTATAGCTATACCAATGTAGTTAATGTTTGTGTATAGCTGTAGCAATGTAGCTAATGTTGTATATAGCTGTAGCTAATGTTTGTGTATAGCTATACGAATGTAGCTAATGTTTGTGTATAGCTGTAGCAAATGTTTGTATATAACTGTAGCAATGTAGCTATGTTTGTGTGTAGCTGTAGCTAATGTTTGTGTATAGCTATACCAATGTAGCTAATGTTTGTGTATAGCTGTAGCAAATGTTTGTATATAACTGTAGCAATGTAGCTATGTTTGTGTGTAGCTGTAGCTAATGTTTGTGTATAGCTATACCAATGTAGCTAATGTTTGTGTATAGATGTAGCAATGTAGCTAATGTCTGTGTATAGCTATACCAATGTAGTTAATGTTTGTGTATAGCTATAGCAAATGTTTGTATATAGCTATAGCAATGTAGCTAATGTTTGTGTATAGCTATAGCAATGTAGCAATGTTCATGTATAGCTGTAGCTATGTTTGTGTATAGCTGTAGCTAATGTTTGTGTATAGCTATACCAATGTAGCTAATGTTTGTGTATAGATGTAGCAATGTAGCTAATGTCTGTGTATAGCTATACCAATGTAGTTAATGTTTGTGTATAGCTATAGCAAATGTTTGTATATAGCTGTAGCAATGTAGCTAATGTTTGTGTATAGCTATACCAATGTAGCTAATGTTCATGTATAGCTGTAGTAAATGTTTGTATATAGCTGTAGAAAATGTTTGTGTGTAGCTGTAGCAATCTAGCAAATGTTTGCATATAGCTGTAGCAATGTAGCAAATGTTTGTATATAGCTGTAGCTAATGTTTGTGTATAGCTGTAGCAATGTAGCTAATGTTTTCATATAGCTATAGCAATGTAGCTAATGTTTTCATATAGCTATAGCAATGTAGCTAGTGTTTGCATATAGCTATAGCAATGTAGCTAATGTTTTCATATAGCTATAGCAATGTAGCTAATGTTTATATATAGCTGTAACTAATGTTTATAATAGCTATAGCAATGTAGCTAATGTTTGCATATAGCTATAGCAAGGTAGCTAATGTTTGCATATAGCTATAGCAATGTAGCTAATGTTTGCATATAGCTATAGCAATGTAGCTAATGTTTGCATATAGCTATAGCAATGGTAGCTAATGTTTGTGTATAGCTGTAGCAAATGTTTGTTTATAGCTGTAGCAATGTAGCTAATGTTTTCATATAGCTATAGCAATGTAGCTAATGTTTTCATATAGCTATAGCAATGTAGCTAGTGTTTGCATATAGCTATAGCAATGTAGCTAATGTTTTCATATAGCTATAGCAATGTAGCTAATGTTTATATATAGCTGTAACTAATGTTTATAATAGCTATAGCAATGTAGCTAATGTTTGCATATAGCTATAGCAAGGTAGCTAATGTTTGCATATAGCTATAGCAAGGTAGCTAATGTTTGCATATAGCTATGGCAAGGTAGCTAATGTTTGCATATAGCTATAGCAAGGTAGCTAATGTTTTCATATAACTATAGCAAGGTAGCTAATGTTTGCATATAGCTATAGCAAGGTAGCTAATGTTTTCATATAGCTATAGCAATGTAGCTAATGTTTGCATATAGCTATAGCAATGTAGCTAATGTTTATATATAGCTGTAGCTAATGTTTATAATAGCTATAGCAATGTAGCTAATGTTTGCATATAGCTATAGCAAGGTAGCTAATGTTTTCATATAACTATAGCAATGTAGCTAATGTTTTCATATAACTATAGCAATGTAGCTAATGTTTGCATATAGCTATAGCAAGGTAGCTAATGTTTTCATATAGCTATAGCAAGGTAGCTAATGTTTTCATATAGCTATAGCAAGGTAGCTAATGTTTTCATATAACTATAGCAATGTAGCTAATGTTTTCATATAACTATAGCAATGTAGCTAATGTTTTCATATAGCTATAGCAATGTAGCTAATGTTTATATATAGCTGTAGCTAATGTTTATAATAGCTATAGCAATGTAGCTAATGTTTTCATATAACTATAGCAAGGTAGCTATAACTATAGCAAGGTAGCTAATGTTTGTGTAAAGCTCTTCTTCCCTATGATAGTTTTTCGTTTGCCACTTTCACTGCCAGCGGTTTGCCCAGTGTAATATCCACTTCAGTACAGATCTATGTATAGAGTCTGTATGTGGCATTTAACTACCACTGTTCTAGGTATCTTTTTCCTTTCAATGAAGTTTTGCCCCCAACACAATATATACATTGTAAGTGAGAGCATTTTGGAGTTCCTAGCTGTGCATATGCCATTAGTAAGCTTGTTCTCACCGTCCTGTTGCAGCTCGGGGGAGAAGACCAACTTCTACCAGCTATTTATGGAGAAGGACGACATGTTACTGCTCCCCACCACCCAGAAGTTGGTGGAGCTGTCCTTCCACCAGAGCGATGTCAAACTGAAAGAGGTGAGTTATTACAACATGTATGCCTGGAACCTGTTCCCCACAGTCATCTTCCACAGAAAAGTTATACAAACGTTTGGTCAAATTTATACTTCTTGGTCTTCATTGCAAAGGCAAAGGATTGTTGCAGTCAATGGCAGTAGGCTGCGGTTTCATGAGAGATGTCAGTACAGATTACAGCCATGAGATATTGCAATTCAGAAATAGCTTTTTTATCAACAAAATATTTGGCTCCTCAAGTGCACCCAGTAAGTGGTTGAACACTAGACCCTGCAATGATTTTTGCCTACAATTTAAAGCGTTTGTGTTTGTGTCCATATGTGTTTGTTGTCAGTGGCACACTGTGGCCAAGTGATGTTCAGAGCAACTGGGGGCGGTGGGGTAGCCTTGTGGTTAAAGCATTCACTTGTCACGCCGAAGACCTGGGTTTGATTCCCCGTGGGTAGAATGTGTGAAACCCATTTCTGGTGTTCCCTACCGTGATATTGCTGGAATATTGCTAAAAGCACCGTAATACCAAACTCACACTCAGAGAAACTGAATGGTCGTTGTTTCTATGTGGCAGGTCCCATCATGTTTCATCATCCAGATGCCAAGGTTTGGAAAAGACTACAAGATGTTCCGGCGGATTATTCCCAGCTTAGAACTAGACATTACAGACATCCTAGAAGAAGGTAGATATGAACAGGTGGCTCTACCAATGTTCACATGGTCATTCCAAATACAGATTATATAATGGACAAATGTCATCATTCCTGCCATGTTCATATCCTTAGTCGTTCAGTGTATTACACTAAGTTTGGTTATGATAAATCCCATGGACCAATCCACTCACACACCAGTGTTTTGTGTCTATGCTGAATGGTTTGATGTAAGGATAACTATCCTGTCAAAGTCCTTTCAAGGGAGATACCCGTGGAGATCCGGGTTAGAACTGATCTTCAGTAACCCATGCTTGTCGTAAAGGGCAACAAATGGGATCGGGTGGTCAGGCTCGCTGACTTGGTTGTCACAGTCATATCATTATATCCCAATTGTGTTGATCAATGTTCATGCTGTTGATCACTGGATTGTCTGGTCAAGACTTGATTATTTACAGACTGCTGCCATATAGCTGGAATATTGCTGAGTGCTGCTTAAAACTGAACTGACTCGCTCACTCATGGGAGAGGGGTGGTGGGGTAGACTAGTGGTTAAAACATTTGTTGCGCCGAAGGCCCGGGTTCTATTCCCCACAGGGTACAATGTGTGAGTCCCATTGTTGCTGGAATATGCTAAAAGCGGCATAAAACTATATTCACTCACTCACCTTTCATGGGAGAGAAATTCTGAGCTTAGAGTTGAAATGGTGACTTCCGAAACATGTCCGTGTTGTGGACATGGGTCAAGGGTATATGTTATGAGTGGAAATATGATACAGTGGATAATCTAGGGTTCTGGTGTATATGCGATATGTAACCAAGCAATTGTAAATATTTTAACTGGGTTCTTCCCCATTAGGCTACTCATGTGTAGTGTGAGTTGTCTCCCCTTAGCTGCCATCATCATCAGTAGTAATGTAGCACTGCAGTTGATCAGTGTGAAATTTATCACAAGAAATTGATAAGAAATAACTATTTCAATGCCAAAAGTAAGCAATACTTAAATCACAGAATCTGTTACAATTTCTAAATATACATTATTTTCAGTAATTAACATGTCTGCTGTGTTCAAAGATATCAGATGTTAGACAAAAGTACATTCCCGCCACAAGGACTGGGTAATAATAAATTATTAAAGACAGATCATAAAATTACTATCAGTACATTTTCATTCAGCTGTGTCAGTGGAGAGCGAGTATGGAATCAAGAAGGCCTCTTCACTGCATAAAACTTAGTCTATATGTATGCTACGGAATGTGGGGCCCAAGTTGTCGATGACCAGCGGGTTGATGACATAGCAAGTTGGCCCCTGTGTTTTCATGGCTTGCAGTGAGTATTTGTGTTTGTGTTGCAGGAGCTAGGGAGTGCATCGTTTGTGGCAACCTGGCCACACATGAGTGTAAGGACTGCTACCAACTGCAAAAAACAATGTTGAGTGCCACAGCCTTCTGTCAAAACTGTTGTTCAATGGTATGTTGTTTTATTTCACCTTTCATGTACTGTAATGCAAGGGAAATAAGAAAATAAATAAAAAAAGGGAAATAATAGTTAGCGGGTAAAGCCACCGACCCTTTCAATAAAAAAAAGAAAAGAAAAGGAAATATTCATCTCTTTGAAAATTGACACACTTGTGAGAGATTTTCGTTATAGTTACTTCCCATTGTTTGTTGAAGCATCAGAAAACCATTCAATTACAAGGATTGATAATTAAAGAAGACATATGTACAGAGAGACATTTGTTCACATGATTTTCAAGGAAATATTTCAAATAGTTCAGTATAGTATTTAGTTCAGTGAGTTAGAGCATATTACTTGGTATATGAAAGAAGGTATGGTTGACCCACATTCTGTTTATAGTAATACTGGATTAATCCCAGACAGCTGTGTTGGTGGTAGGAGGCAGCTGAGTGGTAGGGGTGGACAGACTCTGTGACTTGATGGCATGTCATCATAGCCTGTTGACATGGAAACATGTGAAGATCCGGGTTCGAATTGATCTTCAGTAACCCATGTTTACCTGTATTTTGGGTGGATTTCTGATTGGACTGCCATAATCATAACAAGGGAATTAGCCCTAGAAAAGTAGTTTCATTTTATAATCGATGATCTGATATGGTTCAATAGTGGTCAGACCCGTGAACATCCAGGTAAGAATCAATCTTTGTCGAAAGAACCTACTAACGGGATTGGGTGGTCAGATTTGCAGACTTTGTTGACACATGGCATCGTATCCCAGTTTAGTAGATCGATGCTCATGCTGTTGATCACTGGATTGTCTGGTCCAGACTTGATCATTTACAGACCGCCGTCATATAGCTGGAATATTGCTGAGTACGGTGTAACTCTATACTCACTCACTGTTGACATGGAACGCTGCCTATAACATCAGTCACTAGTTATGTGCTCCACTCAGTTATTTGCTGCCTGCATCTTAGTAGCTGGACTATTGACTGTAGACCTTCAACCTCCTGTCCACAGAGCCATCAGCACAAGACGCGGGAAGGGCCACGTGCCGACTCCCATCAAAGTGTCAGAGAGTCTAAAGAAACACCTGGCCTCCTGCAGCGAAGTGGATCTTAGTTCCCACCGAGAGAAGATGGAGCTGTTTGCTGTTGTGTGTATCCAGACCAGTCATTATGTGTCCTTCGTCAAGTGTGGCACGGGGGATGAAGCTCAATGGGTCTTCTTTGATTCAATGGCAGATAGAATGGGTAAGACTGGTTGGACCAGAGCGTTATAGTGGCTCGGGTGTGAAGAGCAAGCAAGAATGGTTTCCTGAACAAAATGGCGAGTGATTCTGTGACATTTGATTGGCTAACCTCACAAAATAGACCACTATAGTGACAGATTTTACAGACAGCTGTTTCTGACAGTTGATTGTGTTGCATTATTACACTTAACTGTGTCACTGATTTCATAGTCTTCATGTTTCTATGTTAATGTTTGAATAAGCAGTCTGTAGAGTTGATGTCAATGTGTTAATTAATAAGGACGGCCTTCAGTGTGTTTGTATCAGTGGAGTTTGTTAGTATAAATACTGGTGTACATTCAGTGTAAATCCATGTATCTTGTACTGCTGTTCCAGTAAGATTGAGCAGTGGTATCATAAATGGTCAGGGGGTCAGGCTTGGTGAACTGCATGGAATGTTGATCCTTCAGTCAGTGGTCAACCGAACCAAGACTCATGTTATTTACTTGTTTCTAGAATGTTGCTGTGTAACACAGTAAACAAACACTGTTTCAGGTGAACAGAAAGGCTACAACATCCCAGAGGTGAAGGTCGTTCCTGAGTTGTCATTATGGCTGTCGGAAGGGAACTGGGATAAGATCCATAAGATAGATGACGACAAGCGGCTTCCAGAGTCGATCCGTCGCCTTCTGTGTGATGCCTACATGTGCATGTACCAGAGCACGGAGGTCTCCATGTTTAAGTGATGGATGCAGTGTGTTTTGTGGAAACCAATTTACCAATGGGCACATCACTATCGTTTTGTGTCACGAGCACACATCACCACGTAGTTGGGCCTTGAGATTCCCTCGCAGAATGGAGTGATTTGAAGATGGCTGGATGAAGAATAACAATGCAGACGTTTTTTTTATTTACTGAACATGGAATAACTTACTTGTAATCTCAGTGAGTGAGTGCGTTGGACGTGTTGTTAAAAAAGCACCGGTAAAAGTATGCTTTGCTGTGATTGGACGTCTACATTGATAGTAAGATCGGGAAGTGTTATGTGAAACTTGGAGACATTTAATTGTCATGGTGAGGCTGTGTACTGTATTATATGAGTACTCCTTCCCTCTGTATGGCCATCTAGCACATAAGATAGATCCATACAAGGTACAAACTCTTGTATGGTGCATGTAGGTATTGTGGGTATTGTGTCTCCAGCTACGTGTGCTTGTTGTAAGAGATGGGCGTGGAATGGTGGGTGACTTGCTTCATGGCAGACATTGTATCGCAGTTGTGGCCAGTGATGCTAATGACGTGTTTGTCTGATCGCTTTCACATAGCAGGAATATTGCTGATTGCTGGGTGAAGTGACAAACCAACATGTGTTACTGTATTGTTACATGACGTCATGACATGGTACTGATATCATGGCACATGTCCATGTATCAACAGGTACTTCCTAGCAACCATAGTTAGACCTACTGTCAAGTTAATGATAGTTACAATATTCTTTTGTTGTTATGTAGTGCCAGGCATGTATTTCTAGCAGTGCATGTATACATATTCATTTTCTATCAATGTATGTATATAACAATATGTATGTATATCGTATAGCTTGCAGTGATTTAGGGAGCTTCTTTCATAGCATGTTTGACAAGGACCAGTACCATACATCTCTTAGATAGTCTGGGGTTACTTCATGTCAACATGATGTTCCAGAATGTTTGCTGGTGTCACAGCAACCTGTTTGGCCTGATGTTACCATGGTGATGACACTCCCTTCAAGGATTGATCTAACTTGTTCAGTGACCTTGTTCTACATATTGTTAAAACTTCAACAGTTGTTCCATGAGTGTGTAATATATTCTGAATGATACTGTGTGCTCCTAAGTTAACCATCACTGTATATAAGTTTTGTATAAAGGAATATGTACAGCTCTTTCAATAGTGAGTGAGAATGGTTTTACGCCGCTTTTAGGTATATTGCAGAAATGACCTTCACACTTCCGTAAAAAATGTTGGGGTTCAAACCTATAGCTGCACTAGGATAAGCAACCACTTCCACCAGGCTGCCCCGCTGTCAAAGCTTTGTTCAGACATGAAACAGGTGACAGAATGGTTAAGCAGTAGGTGAATGACGTCTGTACTGTCACATCTCTGGCACTGCAGCAGTCAAGCCTGTGGGTGATGGTGTGAATGAATGACGTCTGTACTGTCACATCTCCGTCACTGCAGCAGTCAAGCCTGTGGGTGATGGTGTGAATGAATGACGTCTGTACTGTCACATCTCCGTCACTGCAGCAGTCAAGCAGTCAAGCCTGTGGCTGATGGTGTGAATGAATGACGTCTGTACTGTCACATCTCCGTCACTGCAGCAGTCAAGCCTGTGGCTGATGGTGTGAATGAATGACGTCTGAACTGTCACATCTCCGGCACTGCAGCAGTCAAGCCTGTGGGTGATGGTGTGAATGAATGACGTCTGTACTGTCACATCTTCGTCACTGCAGCTGTCAAGCCTGTGGCTGATGGTGTGAATGAATGACGTCTGTACTGTCACATCTCCGGCACTGCAGCAGTCAAGCCTGTGGGTGATGGTGTGAATGAATGACGTCTGTACTGTCACATCTTCGTCACTGCAGCTGTCAAGCCTGTGGCTGATGGTGTGAATGAATGACGTCTGTACTGTCACATCTCCGGCACTGCAGCAGTCAAGCCTGTGGCTGATGGTGTGAATGAATGACGTCTGTACTATCACATCTTCATCACTGCAGCTGTCAAGCCTGTGGGTGATGGTGTGAATGAATGACGCCTGTACTGTCACATCTCCGCACTGCAGTCAAGCAGTCAAGCCTGTGGGTGATGGTGTGAATGAATGACGTCTGTACTGTCACATCTTCGCACTGCAGCTGTCAAGCCTGTGGCTGATGGTGTGAATGAATGACGTCTGTACTGTCACATCGGCACTGCAGCAGTCAAGCCTGTGGGTGATGGTGTGAATGAATGACGTCTGTACTATCACATCTTCGTCACTGCAGCTGTCAAGCCTGTGGGTGATGGTGTGAATGAATGACGTCTGTACTATCACATCTTCGTCACTGCAGCTGTCAAGCCTGTGGGTGATGGTGTGAATGAATGACGTCTGTACTGTCACATCTCGGCACTGCAGCAGTCAAGCCTGTGGGTGATGGTGTGAATGAATGACGTCTGTACTGTCACATCTTCGTCACTGCAGCTGTCAAGCCTGTGGCTGATGGTGTGAATGAATGACGTCTGTACTGTCACATCTCCGGCACTGCAGCAGTCAAGCCTGTGGGTGATGGTGTGAATGAATGACGTCTGTACTATCACATCTTCGTCACTGCAGCTGTCAAGCCTGTGGGTGATGGTGTGAATGAATGACGTCTGTACTGTCACATCTCTGTCACTGCAGCAGTCAAGCCTGTGGGTGATGGTGTGAATGAATGATGTCTGTACTGTCACATCTCTGTCACTGCAGCAGTCAAGCAGTCAAGCCTGTGGCTGATGGTGTGAATGAATGACGTCTGTACTGTCACATCTCCGTCACTGCAGCAGTCAAGCAGTCAAGCCTGTGGCTGATGGTGTGAATGAATGACGTCTGTACTGTCACATCTCCGGCACTACAGCAGTCAAGCAGTCAAGCCTGTGGCTGATGGTGTGAATGAATGACGTCTGTACTGTCACATCTCCGGCACTGCAGCAGTCAAGCCTGTGGGTGATGGTGTGAATGAATGACGTCTGTACTATCACATCTTCGTCACTGCAGCTGTCAAGCCTGTGGGTGATGGTGTGAATGAATGACGTCTGTACTATCACATCTTCGTCACTGCAGCTGTCAAGCCTGTGGGTGATGGTGTGAATGAATGACGTCTGTACTGTCACATCTCCGGCACTGCAGCAGTCAAGCCTGTGGGTGATGGTGTGAATGAATGACGTCTGTACTGTCACATCTTCGTCACTGCAGCTGTCAAGCCTGTGGCTGATGGTGTGAATGAATGACGTCTGTACTGTCACATCTCCGGCACTGCAGCAGTCAAGCCTGTGGGTGATGGTGTGAATGAATGACGTCTGTACTATCACATCTTCGTCACTGCAGCTGTCAAGCCTGTGGGTGATGGTGTGAATGAATGACGTCTGTACTGTCACATCTCTGTCACTGCAGCAGTCAAGCCTGTGGGTGATGGTGTGAATGAATGATGTCTGTACTGTCACATCTCTGTCACTGCAGCAGTCAAGCAGTCAAGCCTGTGGCTGATGGTGTGAATGAATGACGTCTGTACTGTCACATCTCCGGCACTGCAGCAGTCAAGCCTGTGGCTGATGGTGTGAGCACCCATTGAGGCTGCCAGGAGGTCCCATCATAGCTCAGGTGTCAGCGACCAGGCTGTAATTGTTGCTCAGTCTGACGGTCAATGGTTTGCCAGGTCAAGAATTGATTACATTACAGGCTGTAAAAACATTGCTGGCTTGGACTTGGAAGATATTTTCACAAGATCCTGATGTGTGAGGAATTATACAAGGTGGTTGGATATGGGAGTTGACAATCAGCCCAAGCTGGTCGTCCTGGTATATACAGTTACACAACAGAAGTCACTGTAATGGCCAGACCACAGTTTGTAACTAGAAGAACAATGTAGTCTTGCACAGAGAATATTTTCTCCTAAAAACAATTCTCTGCTGTTGACAGTACTGACATTTGAAGATGTGTGATTATTTGATGTGCCACAGATTTGCTGCAGAAAACCATCAACCAGAGATGAGAGAAACTGTAACCTGTTGCTGAAACAGAATCATGTTGGCAGCAGGGCAGACAGAGCTGAGATAAGTCTCTTAAACAGGCTGACAGAGCTGAGATAAGTCTCTTAAACAGGCAGACAGAGCTGAGATGAGTCCATTTAACAGGCAGACAGAGCTGAGATAAGTCTATTAAACAGGCAGACAGAGCTGAGATAAGTCCATTAAACAGGCTGATCTGAGATAAGTCCATTAACCGGCAGACAGAGCTGACATAAGTCTTC